TCATACATAGACTTCCTGACAGTTTGTCTATACAGGGTATCCGATTTGCCTGAGTGTCGGTTATCCGAGACAGAACAGCCGACATACAGGACACGGCAGCCTTGCAGGTTCTCTGCTCGTCAATGCCGTGTTGGCTAGGCAGTTTTCAGTTCTGAAATTCCGCCCAGTCCAGTAACCCTACCGTTTCCGCTTGTTGAATGCCCCCTTCTAGGGCTCTACCCTGTTCAGGGGAGCTCTTCCTTGGGTTCAGAAGGATATGAAGGAGGACTCGGTCGCCTCAGCACTTCTGGTGAAGAGGTTTCAGGCTGAGAAGGCCAGTGCCTCGCAGGGGTCAGTGCCTCCTAAGAAGAAGGCGAAGTCTTCGGCTGCTCAGTTTTCTGCACAGCCCAAGTCCCAACCTCACTTCAACGGCAACAAGGGGAAGGGTAGGAAGGGTAAGAAACCTCCTGGGGGCAAGAAGAAGGGTTCCTGACTATTTCTGCTTCTTGGCCGCGAAAGGCGAAGGGTATGGCCGGGTGGACGGTGGTTCTCCTTTCCCGGGCTCATGTCCTTCTCCCGCAGGCTCAGGCTCCGGGTGGGCAGACGATTCTCTGGTCTGGCAGGGGCTCAATCTGCCCCATCCGGAACTCCCTGTGGGCGGACGTCTCTCTGCTTTCCTTTCCCAGTGGCAGGATATTACAGATGACGCTTGGGCTTTTGTCGGTGGTCAGGGAGGGTCTAGGTATTCCCCTTCTTCAGGATTCGTCCCTCGCCTCCTGGCCGTTTTTGTTTCTTTCCTCCTCCCGGGGATTCAGAAAGGGCACGGGTGCTCCAGGAGGAAGTAGGGACCATGCTGCCAAGGCAGAGATGCCCTTGGGGCTCACGACAGCTCCTTTGGTGTTCACCAAGTTGCTGCTGGTGTTTCCTTCACTCACGCAGAATAGACGTCCACATCTATTTCGACGACTCCCTCATGCCTCTTTTGGTGTGGGAATCGTTAGTGAAGGACACTCGTCTGGTCCTGAAACTCTTGCTCAGAGTCGGCTTCATTCCTTCCAGAGAGAAGTCAGAGGTTCCTTCATATTAGGACTTCTTCTTCCTGGGGAACCATTTTGACATGGTTCGGGGCTTAGCCCTTCCACCTCTGGAGAAGTTTGAGAAGGTCAGGGCTCTGGCTCTGACTTTCATCACTTGGTCGCTTGTCCAGGTACATTGGTTCCTCAGTTTTCTGGGGTATCTCAACTCCTTGGCATATGTGGTCCCCCTAGGGAGGATTCACATCGGACCTCTCCAGATGTTCCTCCTGTCTGACTGGGTTCCGTCATCCAGGAGGCCTGGATCCCGCTTACCCAGTCGGTCAGGGAGTTCTCTTGCTGGTGGACCATTCAGGAGAACGTTTTCCACGGGGTACCTCTGACCAAGCCTTTCCCCTCTATGATCCTGTTCATGGACGCGTTCATGACAGGAATGTGAGCTTACCTCGATGGCCAATGCCGCTCGGGGGAGTGGTCTGGCGAACAGCTCTCGGAGCACATCAGTGTACTCGAGATGAGACTGTTCATTTGGCTCTGCAGTCCTTTAGGGGTATCCTGCAGTCCAAAGTGTGGCTACCGACAACAGTTGTCGCGTATCTGGAGAGACAGGGGCCACCAGGTCTCATGTCCTGTGTGCCCTCTCCATCCACATCCTTCTTCTCTGCCAGGACATGCAGTTGACCATAGCGGTCAAGCATCTTTCTGGCAGGCTGAGTGTGTTGGTGGCCACTCTCCAGGCGCCACCAGCCGGTGTTGACGGAATGGCAGCTGTGTCCCTTGATTTTCAAGGGGAATTGTCAGGCGTGGGACAGACCTATTATAGACCTGTTTGCCACTTCCCTGAACAACCAGCTGCTAACCTTCGTCTCCCCGGTCCCAGACCGTAAGGCGTGGGCTGTGGACGCCCTTTCTCTGGAATAGGAAGGGACGTATGCATATGCATTCCCTCCCTTCAACCTGGTGGGCAGGGTTCTACAGAAGTTCTGGGAGCATCACTGCTCCTTACTTCTGAGAGCCCCTCTGTGGCCGAGGCAAGCTTGGTTTCAGGAGCTCTTGTCGTTTCTGGTGGAGGAGCCCTTGGCTCTCCCCACCAGACTGAATCTCCTTCGCCAGCCTTGACCCAGAACGACACACTCTTGACCAGAGATCCTCCACCTTCACGCGCTGAGGCTATCTCTGGAAGCCACGCCAAGGCAGGCTTTTCTCAAGAGGTGTCAGATTGCATTGAGCAATCAATCAGGGCTTCCTCTTCTGCCCTCTACCAGTCACGTTGGATGATCTTCTGTGATTGGTGTGTCGGCAAGGAAGCTTATTCATTCGAAGCCTCTGCATTTGATTGCGGACTTCCTAATCTCTCTGTTTAGGTACCGCTATCTGCCACCTGGCACTATTGCTGGCTATCGTACAGCTATTGCCAGAGTTCTTGCTTGTTATGGCAAGAAGGAGATCGGTTAGTCCTCCTCTCTTTCTGCCCTAATCAGAGGCTTTGCTATGAATAGAGTTGTTTTTAGCGAAGAATCAGGTTCCGGGGTTCTCGCACGATCCCATCAGGATCCTGGCTTTGACTAGCTCGGAGGAGCGAGATAGGTTGCTTTGTCTTTGTCGGGCTCTTAGGTTTTATCTTGATAAAACCAGGGGGGGGCGGGGCTCTCGATCCCGTCTGTTTTGCCCATTAAACAGGGACAACGAGATATCTCCTCCCAGTCGGTTTACAGGTGGGTTTGCCAGGTGATTTAGTATGCTTACGAGCATTTTGATGATCTGGCTCGGGCGAGAGCGAAAGCGCGGTCTCACGAGGTCAGGGCCCTTGCTTCATCCTGGGCCCTTCTCTCAATGAGTCCTCCTTTCAGGAGGTCATGTCTGCAGTATTCTGGCAGGGCAGGGATACCTTCACAGATTTTTATCTGTGATCCCTAGCTTCCCACTCAGAAGGCCTGTATTCATTGGGACCTTTGGTGGTGGCATAGTCAGTGGCTGGGCCTCCTCGTTAGCCCCGGGCCATGTCTTTCCGTACGGCGGCATGTGGGTACACCTGCTCTTTCACAGAGAGGTCCCTTCCTTCACTTTAGCACTCTGTTCTCCCTCCCTACTACTTTGGTTGTGCTGAAGGGGCTGCCTGGCTTCTAGTCACCACTACGGTAAGACGAATTTGCATACTAAAGTTATGGTAATTATTACTGAAATGAAATTGAGGTTTTTTAATGTAAAACCAATTTTCATGATGTAATACTTACCATAACTTTATGGAGTCCCACCCTATCCTCCCCTCTTCCTTATCTGCCTGGCTGCCCCTCTGTGGGGTTTACGCCATAAAGGTTATTAGAAGAAGGGAGATCACTCTGCGTTCCTGCCGTGATGGCTCATGGATCGTAGGGAGGGCGGGATTGTTTTTCTTTTGAATCTTTTGTTGTTGGGATACAAAGATGGGTGTAGGTACTGTATTTGCATACTAAAGTTATGGTAAGTATTACATCATGAAAATTGGTTTTACATTAAAAAACCTCAAGTTACATCATATAATCTACAAATGTTTGTACCACAGTAGTAGTTTTGCTCTCGATAGCAATAGGTTTACTTGAAAGCAATTTTTTTATCAAATTATCGGCAACTTCATTATACCATATGGTGACAGGTAGCTGTAATTAAAAAAAAAAAAAAAATACAGGGTAGTAAGTTCCAAATTACATTAACACTTATGTAAAACCCACTATACATGGAATAGTGATACAGCATAGCCACAGTGACTTTATACATTTTGGGAAGTTAATCATATTTAATATAGATATTCCAAAGGTCATTATTTATTTCAATGTTTGATAGGAATCGAACCCAGGACCCCTGGCTTACTAGTCTGACGCTCAACCAATCAAGCTAAAGAGAAGTCTCCCTAGCCGAGTGGTATATTGTGGCTAGTATTTTACCAGGGTTACATATATACCAGCAATATGTTAAGGGAATCATGGGTCTAATCCAATCAATTCTGTTGATCCAAAAGGTTTGTTATATTTTCCTATTTAAAAATGTTGTCACTACTGTTGCCAAGATAGGATTACTTTTTCACTAACTCTAGTACAGTATTGACAGATAAACCAGAATCAAATAACACTAACACATGTATCAATGTCTAGACACTACTGAAATGGGCTATTCAACCTTCGCTGAGGATCGTCGTAACAGGCCACATTTTGATATCTACTCATTTGAATACAGATCGACGTGGTCAGAATATCAATGCGATGTGAGTTTTATTAAGCTGACTTTTCTCCTGTCGGCATACTGCGTGTAAACGCGGCCTAGCTGCTTTAGCTTTATGGTTTCAGCATCTTCGCTAAAATACCTATAATTGCTCCATCGATCTATCTGAATTAGGAAAACTGAGACATGACTTCGAAAATTTTACACCTGATACAAATTAGTTTCTTTAGTAATCATAGGGTAAGGCGCCTTCATGGTCAAGCCCACTGACTTCGGCTTACATTCACGTGTTGTTTTTTTCGTAATTCATTGATCAAGATCAATTGAGTAAAAATAATTTACGTTACCTTCCACTCTGATAACGATGCCACTGTCGCTTGTCGTTGTTTTATAAGTCAAGAGAGTCTTGGTAGCTAGCTAGTCTACACATGTACTTTTCGTACTTTCTATTTAAGAGGAAGTAGACCTAGAATTAGAAAGCATGGTGACAAGAAGCGTGTTCGATTTAGGGTAATGCTTGTTTCTCGTGTTCATGGTTGTTGATGTCCGCATTGCTTCATTTGACGCATCTTAATGATTCTTATCTACGACTATACAAAATAATTTCTGAATAAATTAGTTTTGGAAAAGGGAAATATTTTAATTCTTTGTATTATTGTTTTTTGCAATCAATTATATGTCGATAATAACAATGTGCTTTCCACTTTATCAAGTACGTGTCGCTCTGCTGACAGACGACTGAGTGTTTCAACGACCCGACAAATCGAGCTTACCGGAACAACATTTTCCAGTATGGCGTCACACGAAAACAGACCAGAGAGTCAAGAGAAACACAGACTCGATTTACCACGTCCACTTATCACTGGTGGGTCAAGATGGGATAAAACGATTCCAGACACTCAAGGGAACATGTTTTCATCAGAAGTTAATGATACGACAATGCCAGAGTACAAAAACGCACAGGAATATGCAAGAGCTCTTCAACCATGGCTGTATCAGTATAGAATTTGGAGTCTTCTTAGATCGACGCCATCCGCGTTTCCTTACCAAATGATGAATTGTATGTCCCCTGTTAGTCCGTTAACAAGCTCGCAACCAAACGTCGGGGGAATGAAAAACCCACTAATGACAGGTGTCCCTCGAGCACAGACACCCGGGGCCGGGCTAAGTAGCCAGACCCCGCCCACTTTTGAAGGTCGGGCGAGACCGACAACAAATGTTAATATCATTCGGGGTAGGTGTGACACGTAAAAAAGAACCCAAAGCACTATTTTCTCGCAATTTCACACATCGTATGTCGCAACTTGATGTTGTTTTCAAGCACTTTGCTCTCGGTAGCTGCAAGGATGTTGCTCTAACGGCATTTTTTGGCTTTGCAATTGTCGATAAAAAGAATAGGCTTGGAATGTGGCCTTGTCTAGAGAAAAAAAAACCATGTTATTCATGTACCATTTATATACTAACCTGTCTAGATTTCAGAGATGTAAGGAGAACGAACATGTTACTTAAAATATGGATTTTTGTTAAGCCATGATTTCGCGCTTTTAACATGTAACAATGCTCTGTTAATAAAGAATATTATTGAAAGACAATCTTTTTTAAGATGAAGAAATATGTAACTATGTATAATATAGTATATGAGAGACATGAACTTTATGATGTAATGATGAAATCATTGATTCTTCAGGAACAGAGTACACAATCCCATCTCTATGGAAAAGAGTCCTGGCAGAATTGGTGGATTTCGCTGTGCTTTTTTATATGAAGATAATTGTCACAGTGATTATACTGAGGCAGATGGGATATTTGTAAGTGTAATGTAATGTTGTAGGTTATAATACAAAGACAAGTGGGATACTTGTATGCTGTAGATGATCATATTGAAACCAATGGGATACCTGTAAATGCTTATTTAATGAGACAGACGCAGTGCATGTACCTTATGTTCTCTCTAAAATAAGAAACAAGTTGTTTGTTTTAGAAAATGCAAAATTTGGATTGTTAAAATTTACCTTACTGTGTTATCATTGAATGGTTTTAGTAAAAAAAAGTGTTTAAGAGAGTTGGTTGTAGTTACAGTTGATAAATTGGGAACAGTCTGTTGACATACATGAAAATGTAATTCTTTACTTAAGCTTTGATTGGAAAGATTTTTAGTTTCGTGCTGGAAAAATGGCTGAAAGAAAAACATTTTTGCAGAAAAGGTTGTTCTTTCATACCAGCATGAAACTAAGAAATATTCCTATCAAAATGTTTTTGTTTTTTTTTTTTTGTTTAGAAATAAAAAGAAAATATCAGCAAATTGGAAAGCTGTATTTTGCGTACAAACAACAAAAAAATAGTGATCATGCCATAGTCCAGTCTGTTTTTATATCACCAGTATTTATCAGTAGTAGACCTACCTGAATATCAATCTGAAGTAAAGGCTTTCTGTTCAGACTAACTCTATTGCAATTGGAATTAATTTGTTGCGTTTATTTTGCCATACATGGAATTGTCATTATATTTAATAAAATGACACATTTTAAGAAGTTCTTTGATCTAGACTCTAACATTTCAAATTCTGCAGGTGTTGTTTATGTATATCATTTAATGTAAACTAGGTCAACTGTTTTGTAGACGAGATGACAACAATATACTAGATGTGCATCTAGATCTGGTGCCTGTGCTGGATTTTGCAAAAGTGGATTTGGACGAAGCCCTGAATTTCACATCAGAAATAATTGCGCTAGAAATTGTAAATCGTGTCTTTATCACACTTTTCGAGGTATGTCCTATACTTTGTTACTCTTGTGTTATGTATCCTCATTAGTCAAAGGATGTTAATCATGTCAAGTGTGTTAGTCATGACAAAGGTTTTTGTCATGATAAGGGTGTAAGTCATGACAAGGGTTTTAGTCATGATAAGGGTGTAAGTCATGACAAAGGTTTTTGTCATGATAAGGGTGTAAGTCATGACAAAGGTTTTTGTCATTATAAGGGTGTTAGTCATGACAAAGGTTTTTGTCATTATAAGGGTGTAAGTCATGACAAAGGTTTTTGTCATTATAAGGGTGTTAGTCATGACAAAGGTTTTTGTCATTATAAGGGTGTTAATTATGTCAATGGTTTTTGTCATTATAAGGGTGTTAGTCATGACAAAGGTTTTAGTCATGATAAGGGTGTTAGTCATGACAAAGGTTTTAGTCATGACAAGTGTGTTAGTCATGACAAGGGGGTTTTATGTCAATGGTTTTAGTCATGTTTTAAGGGTGTAAGTCATGACAAAGGTTTTTGTCATTATAAGGGTGTTAGTCATGACAAAGGTTTTTGTCATTATAAGGGTGTTAATTATGTCAATGGTTTTTGTCATGACAAAGGTTTTTGTCATTATAAGGGTGTTAATTATGTCAATGGTTTTAGTCATGACAAGGGTTTTAGTCATGATAAGGGTGTTAGTCATGACAAGGGTTTTAGTCATGATCAGGGTGTTAGTCATGACAAGGGTTTTAGTCATGATAAGGGTGTTAGTCATGACAAGGGTTTTAGTCATGATAAGGGTGTTAGTCATGACAAGGGTTTTAGTCATGATAAGGGTGTTAGTCATGACAAAGGTGTTAGTCATGATAAGGGTGTTTGACAAGGGTTTTAGTCATGATAAGGGTGTTAGTCATGACAAGGGTTTTAGTCATGACAAGGGTGTAAGTCATGACAAGGGTTTTAGTCATGATAAGGGTGTAAGTCATGACAAGGGTTTTAGTCATGAGGGTGTTAGTCATAGTCATGATAAGGGTGTAAGTCATGACAAGGGTTTAATTCATGATAAGGATGTTAGTCATGACAAGGGTTTAAGTCATGATAAGGGTGTTAGTCATGACAAGGGTTTTAGTCATGATCAGGGTGTTAGTCATGACAAGGGTTTTAGTCATGATAAGGGTGTAAGTCATGACAAGGGTTTTAGTCATGATAAGGGTGTTAGTCATGACAAGGGTTTTAGTCATGATAAGGGTGTTAGTCATGACAAGGGTTTTAGTCATGATAAGGGTGTTAGTCATGACAAAGGTTTTAGTCATGAGGGTGTTAGTCATGACAAGGGTTTCAGTCATGATCAGGGTGTTAGTCATGACAAGGGTTTTAGTCATGATAAGGGTGTTAGTCATGACAAGGGTTTTAGTCATGACAAGGGTGTTAGTCATGACAAGGGTTTTAGTCATGACAAGGGTGTAAGTCATGACAAGGGTTTTAGTCATGATCAGGGTGTTAGTCATGACAAGGGTTTTAGTCATGATAAGGGGTCAAGGGTTTTAGTCATGATAAGGGTGTAAGTTACGACAAGGGTTTTAGTCATGATCAGGGTGTTAGTCATGACAAGGGTTTTAGTCATGATAAGGGGGTTTTAGTCATGATAAGGGTGTTAGTCATGACAAGGGTTTTAGTCATGATAAGGGGTTAGTTGACAAGGGTTTTAGTCATGATAAGGGTGCAGGGTGTTAGTCATGACAAGGGTTTTAGTCATGATAAGGGTGTTAGTCATGACAAGGGTTTTAGTCATGATAAGGGTGTTAGTCATGACAAAGGTTTTAGTCATGATAAGGGTGTTAGTCATGACAAGGGTTTTAGTCATGATAAGGGTGTTAGTCATGACAAGGGTTTTAGTCATGATAAGGGTGTTAGTCATGACAAGGGTTTTAGTCATGATCAGGGTGTTAGTCATGACAAGGGTTTTAGTCTTGATAAAGGTGTTAGTCATGACAAGGGTTTTAGTCATGATAAGGGTGTTAGTCATGACAAGGGTTTTAGTCATGATAAGGGTGTTAGTCATGACAAGGGTTTTAGTCATGATAAGGGTGTTAGTCATGACAAGGGTTTTAGTCATGATAAGGGTGTTAGTCATGACAAGGGTTTTAGTCATGATAAGGGTGTTAGTCATGACAAGGGTTTTAGTCATGATAAGGGTGTTCTTCATGACAAGGGTTTAAGTCATGATATGGTTGTTAGTCATGACAAAGGTTTTAGTCATGAGGGTGTTAGTCATGACAAGGGTTTTAGGTGTTAGTCATGACAAGGGTTTTAGTCATGATAAGGGTGTTAGTCATGACAAGGGTTTTAGTCATGATAAGGTTGTTAGTCATGACAAGGGTTTTAGTCATGATAAGGGTGTAAGTCATGACAAGGGTTTTAGTCATGATAAGGGTGTTAGTCATGACAAGGGTTTTAGTCATGATAAGGGTGTTAGTCATGATAAGGGTGTTAGTCATGACAAGGGTTTTAGTCATGATAAGGGTGTTAGTCATGACAAGGGTTTTAGTCATGATAAGGGTGTTGGTCATGACAAGGGTTTTAGTCATGATAAGGGTGTTGGTCATGACAAGGGTTTTAGTCATAAGGGTGTTAGTCATGACAAGGGTTTTAGTCATGATAAGGGTGTAAGTCATGACAAAGGTTTTAGTCATGATAAGGGTGTTAGTCATGACAAGGGTTTTAGTCAAGGGTTTTTGTCATGATAAGGGTGTTAGTCATGACAAAGGTTTTAGTCATGATAAGGGTGTTAGTCATGACAAAGGTTTTAGTCATGACAAGTGTGTTAGTCATGACAAGGGTTTTAGTCATGACAAGGGTTTTAGTCATGACAAGGGTGTAAGTCATGACAAGGGTTTTAGTCATGATAAGGGTGTTAGTCATGACAAGGGTTTTAGTCATGATAAGGGTGTTAGTCATGACAAGGGTTTTAGTCATGATAAGAGTGTTAGTCATGACAAGGATTTTAGACATAATAAGGGTGTTAGTCATGACAAGGGTTTTAGTCATGATAAGGGTGTTAGTCATGACAAGGGTTTTAGTCATGATAAGGGTGTTAGTCATGACAAGGGTTTTAGTCATGATAAGGGAGTTAGTCATGACAAAGGTTTTAGTCATGATAAGGGTGTTAGTCATGACAAGGGTTTTAGTCATGATAAGGGTGTAAGTCATGACAAGGGTTTTAGTCATGATAAGGGTGTTAGTCATGACAAGGGTTTTAGTCATGATAAGGGTGTAAGTCATGACAAGGGTTTTAGTCATGATAAGGGTGTTAGTCATGACAAGGGTTTTAGTCATGATAAGGGTGTTAGTCATGACAAGGGTTTTAGTCATGATAAGGGTGTTAGTCATGACAAGGGTTTTAGTCATGATAAGGGTGTTAGTCATGACAAGGGTTTTAGTCATGATAAGGGTGTTGGTCATGACAAGGGTTTTAGTCATGATAAGGGTGTTGGTCATGACAAGGGTTTTAGTCATAAGGGTGTTAGTCATGACAAGGGTTTTAGTCATGATAAGGGTGTTGGTCATGACAAGGGTTTTAGTCATGATCAGGGTGTTAGTCATGACAAAGGTTTTAGTTATGATAAGGGTGTTAGTCATGACAAGGGTTTTAGTCATGATAAGGGTGTAAGTCATGACAAGGGTTTTAGTCATGATAAGGGTGTAAGTCATGACAAGGGTTTTAGTCATGATAAGGGTGTTAGTCATGACAAGGGTTTTAGTCATGATCAGGGTGTTAGTCATGACAAGGGTTTTAGTCAAACAGTTTACATTTCAATTTTGTTCCCGGAGGGGCATTCATGTCGTAATGACATATCTGGTTTTTTTTTAATATGGTGTACTATTATCCAACCTGATCTGTTGTAATCTCAACAGTCACTTATCACAAATCTGCCATTATGTCAATTGTTGTGGTTCTCTATGTAGACGCTGTGCATACGGCAAGGTTATGGATCCGTTGGAGGCGCTACTCCAGGAAAAAGAATTCTTGGTCTAAAGGTGGTATCGTGTGAGGAAGTTATTGTACCAGCTCATTTTAGGAATGGCCGTGTGATTGTTGTCCCAGCACAGAACGTTGGCATGGTCAGGTATAATAAACTAACTGAAACTAACCAAAGGGGAAGTTAGCCAATATTTTGCTCTAAAATGCTACAACTTCTTAATGTGTGGGTAGATTTCCATCAAATTTGATCTAAAACATTATTTCAGATGGTTTATCATTTCTTAAATTCTAAAAGTTGATTTGACCCCTGAAGGTATGGTGGCAGGGCCCTGAATGGGAAAATTAGTCAATAATTTTGCTTCAAAACGCTACTTTTTCGATAAGGCTTGAAATGGATTTAAGCCAGATGTTCTTATGTATGTTTGTTTTTTATTTCAGTGCCTTGGTGAGATCTACTATAAAGAATTTTACAATGGCCTTTTTATTTCCGGCCTGTTTTACCGTTTTCTTTTTTCGACATAGTCGAGCAGCTTACGATGTGATTGCCAAGACGATAGTTGTTCAAGCTCCATATCCACACATACATCAACATCAGCCCCCTCAGTGATTGGCATCAGGATATATCAGAGCCAAGAGTGAGAGGCATCAGATGTTATAGTCACCTTTTGGAGTGACACGCTTCAAATCTTATGGTCAGATTTGAGAGTGACTGACATCAAATTCTACATTTGCTTCCAATGTGACAGGCATCAAATCCTTTCATCAGCTTAAAAAGCAGTATCAAGTCTTGATTTTGTCTCGGGCATTAAATCTTAGTAAGTTTCAGCATGAAGGGCCTCAAGTTCTTTATCACCCTCCAAACAGACAGTGATGAGTATTGAATATTGTTTCAGTTGTGACATCACAATTCTGTTGATTAAACCTAGACTAGTCAATACATTTTGTGTAATTGTTGTTACAACACACCTATGTCCAACACAGTTGTGACAAGATTTAACCTTACTTATTCAACCCAATAGTGATTTTGTGAATTTGTGAAATAGGATTTCCCAAGTCTCAGTTGCATATTTATGTATTCAGATATTTGATCTTTGATCATTGTGATGTGATAATATGGTGTTACATCATGAGTTGATAATGCCACATCAAAGACGCTGAATCTGTTTGATTGTGTCCTCCACATTTTGTTTCAGATCTGTCAAAATGAAACTTCTCTTGAATCATGTGATCTTAAGTTTGTTTTTATTGGTCCCCTGCTGGTGAAACTGGAGGTGACAATAGTGTCTCTCTGTGTCCGTCCGGGACGGACGGATGTTGGTTTCCAGACGATAACTTGAGAAAAGATGGATAGAATTTAATGAAACCATTTGGTGTTAGGTTATGAGGTAATACAGTGTGGGATTGAGTTTGGGGTTTAAAGGTCAACTGCAAAGGTCACTATTGCTAACAATAGATATTTGATGTCAAATTTTTGGTTTCCAAATGATAACTTCAGAAAGGATTGATGAATTTGGTTGTGACTTCATATAATGTCAGCTTATGAGGTAATACAGAGTGGGATTGAGTTAGGGGTCGAAAGGTAAGCTTTGAAGGTTACTGATGCTAAAAAAAACCTATTTTTTCATCAAATTTTGGTTTTCAGATAATAATTTCTGAAAAAGATTGACAGATTTGGTTTAAACTTCATAAATTGTGGGAAAAGGTTAACTAGGAAGGTCACTGTTACTAAAAATTGACTTTTATTGTCATATTTTGGCTTGCAGATGATAACTTGAGATAGGGTTGACTGATTGTATTTAAACTGGATGCAATCTGATACAATCAGAACATATTTAGAGTGGGATAGATTTAGGGGTCAAAAGGTCAACTATGAAGGCTGTGAAGGTCATGTACTACAATAGACATTTATCACCATTTTTAGGGCCCTATATCAAAGATGCAGGAAGCAAAATTTGTCAAAATAACATTAGTGGTCAACAGATCAGTGTTCAAGGTCACTGTGTCAAAAGGTCAAGGTCAAAATTTACATCTTTTCATATATACTGACAATGTAACTAGAATGGTCAACTTTACCCCTAAAGGTCAGACACAAAGCCAGGTCCTTTCTGATGTCAGTGTTTTAGTTTGTTGATTAGGGATGACAAACTTGATTAAAACTTCATACAGTATTAAGCACTAACTATAAGCTTGTTTCATATGGGAACTTTGTATTATAAACTCTCGTATGAAATGAAAACTCATTGAAGGTCCTTGGTATACACTCAATTCTTTAGTTACTGGTGCACGTATGAGTGTGATATATAAATTCAGTGAAGCAAGTCATTATACCATGTTGAAACTATGTTGTTATCGGTTAGATAGATTGTTATCATATACTGTTTTATACTGTAATCTTGTTTTCTCTTGTTTTTAAATAATTCACATTTTCATAATTATTCTTATTTTGTTTTCACTACCCAAAGTAAGTATGTATGTATCTGCATCATCTGTAATATTTAGTACCTGTATAATGCTGTTTGTTTGATATGAGAATTAATATATGTATATTACAGTAGCAGATGGATATTGAAGTAACAATTTTCAAATTAAATCATACATATTTCTTGTTCGACTAGTTGTTATATTGTTTTTATATGCCGCAGGAGGCTGTCGTATATTGGTGTCATCTTCTTCGTCCGTCCGTCCGTACGTTCATTTCTTGTGAACGCAACTCCTCCTAAACTAATCATCAGATTTTCACGAAACTTGCGCAATGTCACTACTACAATGGGTAGATGTGCATGAAGGGGCAATGTTTTGGTTCGTTGATTTTTGTAAGATTTATGCCATTTTCAACTTTGTATCTGTAGCTTGCTCTTAGTGGAGCTTTGTGAACGCAACTCCTCCAAAAATAATCATCAGATTTTCTCGAAACTGCTCAATGTCACTACTACAATGGGTAGATGTGCATGAAGGGGCAATTTTACAGTTCATTGATTTTTGAAAGATTTATGCCATTTTATCTTGATCTTTTGTGGCAGCGTATGTTGTGTCCACGGCACTCTTGTTATAAAATAGTTTTCTTTTGTTTGTTAAATTCTTTTGATATAACTAATCTAAGAGTTTGTTTGCCTGGTTTATTGCCCCTGAGTCCAGTGAGGGTCATTTTGAGGCGAGGTCTCCTTACAATGAGACATCCACTGAGTGACTAGCTAGTAGATATCTCACTGAACACACAGAAGGTATGTAACATGCCATGCAGAATCATTAGTGTACAGTGCAATACCCCAGGACACAACCAGGTCAACACAGACTGTCTGTTTCTGTAGAAACATAAACTATCACGGGAAACCAAGAGTCTAACATTACCACAATGTCCATGCATTTACAGAGTTCTATAAAGTTGTAGTTAAACATGTTTTCTGTATAAAATGAAATGAATTGGAGTTACTGTGGCTGTGAACAAGTTCTTTACCGTCTGAATTTTGTGCATCTGAGGAAATCTCATCAATATACAAGATTTTTGGGGAAAATATCACAATAAGACATGTGTAAAAATGATAGATCGTTGAATAATACCAATCAGTAGTTTGATATCTGCTACCATGTCTGCTTATATAAACTTGGCCCAATAAAATGTCTCCAATCACCTCAGATAAAAAGAGTTTCAAATACACGCTCTGAGCTTAATTTTACGTAAGAAAATGAATGTTCTTGGGTAACATTCGGTCTTTTTTAATCTTAACTGAATTCCGTCAAAGTCATAATATTGATATACAGCTCCATCCTTTGTACAAATGAGCAGAACTGAAGTGAAAGATGGAGAGCCAGAAATTGTTGTTTACATTTACTATTTGATTGTTTACACATGTGCAAGAAGTGGCAAGACTATAGGGAGGTGATTAGGCGCATCTGATACAAACACAAACTAATATTTAGGGTATGTTCAGGGACGAGGAGTGTATTGGTACTATGAAAATGTTGTAGATAAAGAAAGGACCTTTCGATACCGGTGTGATATGCATGTATAGATGACAATTTCTATCCACAATTATCACTTGAATGCCGACCCGTGCTCGGGTCCTTATTTCCCTCACTTCTTATTGGGACAAAGTTGAGACTTTCCTGGACTCCAAGTTGATATATAAAACAGAATAGTCAAAATCAGACTATCAGGATAATTCAGTTTACCTTGGACCTTTGGTTATTGAGAAGAGTGTCGTTTACAAGATTTTAATACATTTGACCCCTGTAACCCCATCAGGTCAGATAACCAAACAAATAAAAAAAAGAACAAATGGTTTGCCAATATTTATTAAACAATATTTAAACCAACATTAGTCAGCAATAATGTGACTTTAGTTCCAACATTTTAGTCCACAATTATTCTAACAGCTATAATAATAATAACCTCAAAGCTAACAGCACTATATAGTACACAAACTGTATCACATGGTTTGTTCACTTCATTCATACTTTTGTGACAGTGACATCTAAAGCTAATTAGTGCTCTACTAGGGACACTAATGATTCATGATATCATTTTTAAGAAAATACAACAATGTATATCCTGACCTTTTACCTATAACCCATGTAACTTAAATCCTCTTTCTACAAAAATACATTATACGCCCACCCCTGTTCCTTTACAATTCCTCATATTTATCAAGTTCATATAACTCGATAAGAGCACATCAACTTTTCGTTACATTTTGAATTTTTTTAAACTTATTTCACAATTATATAATAACTGATGGTAAAATAAGTTTCATATTCTGAAAGGAAATTGTAATAATGCTATATATATATTTGTGTTGAGAAATGCTTTCAAGTTGTCAATATCTGACACTCCAAATTAATACCTTTTCATGACAACAAATGTAGTAGTGATGATAATGTAAACAAAAGGTACATATTCACGAAACATAAAGATGAGTTGAATATCTTTGGAGTTACTTCCATTCATAACCAATTTTTATAAGAATTTCATAAGCTTGTGGTCAACAATTTTGCTAAATTTTAAACTTTTCTTTCTTAGTGATACAACAGTATTTCTTGAACACTTCCTAACAGTATTCTCAGCCCTCTGTCTTTGTCTGACCTTTATGAGTTAATAAGTTCTCGGGCAGCTGGTGCAAGTCAATTAATGTCTGCTTTTTTTAAACCTAAACCTTAACAAGATTTTCAAAGTGTAGAATTTTAATGTTTTGCTATTTCATGGTATATTAACATGATCAAGAAAATAGAACCATTGAAATAATGAGACAGGTGTGTATTCAATGTACTTTGAAATTCAGATTGTGATAATAACCAGCTAAACAGTATATTTGCTGATCGTTTACTTATCCACAAGTCTAATACACGGTTTATAATTATACAAAGTACTTTTTCCCATATTCATATACAATGTACAAGGTTTCAAGAAAAGTAAATGAAAATATCACAAAACCAATATAACTATATACTCTCAACAAGTATTTGGCATGGTGGCAGTATATATCACAATTTTCCAGAAATCATAAAAGTAACATGGTAACGTTTTATTAATTTGTGCTGACACATCAATTTTACGAAATAAAAATGTCAATAATAGTACAAGACAGGACAAAAATCTGAACACAATATTGCTTTTAGATGATTACAATTACTTAATCTGTCAAAAGCTAAGATCTGGTTGCTATGGTTTTACCTTTCACAAAGTATCAAATACAAATATACATATAACTATTGACCAAGAGAAGTCAACACTATGTATGAAATTTCAATGTTTAATCTACCGAAGAGTTTTGAGACAAATGACAAAAATTTTTCCGAAATATTCCATTAAAACTAGGGATTTTAACAAGCTATATATATATGGAATGTCCAGTTATTTGTTTTTTAGTGGAGAATATCCTAACAAGGAATAGTGATAGCGGTCATCAAATGTCAAAATCAAAGAGGGCTGTCTGTTGTAAGCGTTTTTCCATCTTTTTCTTGTTTCTAGTCTAAAAATTAATTATTTACAATCGGGGACTGACCGTAACCTATATTACAGAAATTCAAGAATGATCCACCCAGTACTCGTGCTGCAACAGTGACAACAAGAACTGTTTCATGATAAATAAACTTCAGGTGAACAGCGCTTTGAACAGCCCAGTATCTAATGGTGTACTAACATTTAAACATTTCTTTAATGCTAAACTTTTGCATTTAGATTTCCACAAATGTGAATTAGTTAAGGGTCGTGTGATGATGGTTGCTATGGCAACTTGGATAATTGACGACTGATTATGTTATAATGACTAGATATACATTGCTGTGTTTCTATGTTTACTCCTTAATACAATGTATACATTCGGACGAAATGAAAATAAATTCTAAACAAATTCTTAAATATTATGTAACGATCATAACATTTCAGCAAACAATTTGTTTGTTAGTTTTGTTTGCCAAATAAATGATTGACATCACAGGTCTCAATAATCACCATGATAATTAAATGATTTTCACATTAAAAAGAAAGCAAAATTGCATTTTCAGAGGTCTGTACTTCTGGTCTGAAATTTTAAAGGGTCATAAACATTATAATGCCATCAAGCCTCTATATTTTCATTAATAACTTAATTACTCTCCTGTTTGATTTTCAATTATGTCAAGAGTCTGGTTTCGTTTCCAACAGGATTTTTCATTAATAACAACAATAAAAATACAAAATAAATATATATAGAGTGTACCTTAAATGCATTTAAAACAAGCGAAAATTGCTTGTTAGAAAGGACACATTTTTCAATAATGAAAAAAAAAAAAATTCTGTAAAGATAGAGATGTTTTGATGGTGGGAGAAAAATTAATATGATAAAGTTCATAAAGTGACGATTAGAGCCGATTGCTGTACTAGCCTCTATTTAAATGATGACAGAACAACACCACAATTACATCATCACATACAAAACAGTAACCATGACAATACAAAAATCTACAAACTCACATGTTGCTACAATGTTGCTTTGTATAATTTTGAGTGAAAGTAGAAAAGCCAGAAAGTTTTTTTCCCTGTGCATGAATAGTTGATTTATTCACAAGCTGAATTTAAACCAGCATACACTTAACCATTAAAGTCTATATAAAATAAAATCTTTGGAAATTGAAGAAGAAATGGTGAACACATCTTATATACATTTACAATACGTCACATGTTATTTTTACACCACAGAGAAATAACATAATTTTTAACCTTTTCCGTTAATTCATAGTAAATCATCATCGTCTCAAATTTCAGCATAAACTCAGACATCTGATTAGTTACCAGTTACGAGAGACACAGTAATATACACAACACACAGGCCAAGATATGACAATTAGTCTACCACACAGAACAATATCTTCATAACAACATTCTGAAGTGTAGTGAAACAAATTTCCTTGTAAGTGAATGTACTTACTAAGGTAAAGCAATGCCAGATTACAATTTACATAGGATGACGGATTGAAATAGATTTTAATATAACGTCAATCAGATAGGCAATCTCATTATATATCCATGTTTTTTCCAGTAAACTGATATGCTCTGTATCGTTCTCTTCATATCAGAACAGATTAGTGCTAAGTTAGCTGTTTGGCAAGTTTCATCATAATCAAACACTTTTTCTGAATTCCTAGGATTTGTAAGCATCCTACTGATTGTGAGATGGGTTGCTGTTTTTCGCTCTGTAAACGTGTCGATTGAGAATACACATAAAATCAGGGTAAGCCTAAAAAATCAACTGCTCACGAAAACATTTTAAGCATTTGTTTGTTTGTAACACATCAGCAACTGTCACAGCTAAACAGAAACAAAATACGGTACAAAGCTTACTACTCTCTATAGCAGTGACAGGTGAAATATGGATATCATATTTCTATTATAAAGGTGTAAATAATTCTTCTTTACCTATTCTAAGTTTGTAATTCGGAATGTCTTGAATTGGCCCGGTACGAAATACTTTTAATAGTTTCCTTATAAAATATGAGAGCTTTATTTGTAGTATCGTTGTTTAACTTTGTTGGACTAATATTATTCAGCTGTCCAGTTTCTGCTACTTCACAGATACTAAATTTGGGTGTGCATGTATAGAGCCATAGTAGGTATTTTCTGAGAACAGAAAAAAAACAAGAGGCCCATGGGCCTTAACAGTCATCTGACATAAAATACAAGATTTCAAATTTTGAACTTGAGAAGAAGCTGAAAACGTGTTTTCAAGATGGCAGCCATTGTTGGATGTCGGACCAACCCGAAATTAACAAACTTTGGACAGGATCATGTCATGATCATTTCAGGTAAGTTTCAGCTCTATGAGACATGTAGAACTTGAGAAGAAGTTGAAAAAGTTCACGACAGATGACGTATGACGGACGATGCCGGACAAAAGGCGATCACAATTGGTCATCTTTTTCATTCCTACTTTCTTTTCTTTAATATTGTTTTAATTAAGAAATTAACCAACCATAAGCAAATGAAATTTGAGGGAAAGTTTTTTCCCCATTTAGGATAAGCCCACTGTTGACTTGACCCTGATTTTGACGGCCAGGTACATTGACTGATATGATACAAATTATCATCATTGTTCTTTCTTAATCAGTTATAATGATCCAGTGATGCTCACTTGTTACCAAAATGTGGACTTGTATTTAACTTAAAAAATTAATCTTATAAATGAATTACTTACAATTCATAATGTAGAATGTCTTTAGGCATCAAATACATGTTACAGAAACAACTTTAAACCATTTCTGGCTTGGGCTAAGATATGTCAACATTTAAAATTAGAACAAGCATCCTGAACACCAATATGCTAATGAAACAACAAGAGGTAATATAAAAATGGGTTCTGGTTGCTAGCTAACAGTCAGATATTTATTCAGCAATAAGCCCACGCCTGGTAATAAGCCCATGCCTGGTAATAAGCCCATTCATATCTATTGCAGTATAAGTAAAAATGTCAACAAATGGTATATGGTTACTCTGTACTAAGCCCACCCCTCTACTTCAGATTTGATGCATGTTGGCCCCTGGGCTTATTGTAGGATTAATCCTGTACTAGTTTAGACTTAGCATATCTCATAGATCCAGAGAACCAGGAAACATTTCCTATAATTGTAATAAAATATTTACAACATTACAAGACACATTCAGTAAACATCAATATCAGAGTTTTTTTCTCTATATGAAATTGTACATCAAATTGATGACGTACAAGGTTTATATTCTGTGTATATGAAGTATATTAAGTGTTCTATACATTCGCCAACACTCGCGGCATTTACGACCAAACAAATGGTCACAAATGTGGAATGATTGTAATATGTTATGAGTATATCTAACTACAATGTCTATACATACACATATATATATACACACAAACATACACACGAAAAGTGCAGTGGACACAAAATATTTACATATCAACCAGAACTAAGAACTGCAGTCAGCACATCGAAAGTGTTAATCAGCAACATCACAGATACATATTTCTATCTCCTAACTAAGTTTTATTCTATGAAGTGTACAATCAGTGTACAATCAGTGTATGTGTAGTACTTAACTACTTAATCACACATGAACAGATATCTCCTAAGTTCCATGTACAAAGACTGCAACCAATGTACATGTACTTCTTAACTACATATGTATGAAGTGTACAATATATTTATATGAAGTATATATATACTTAACCACACAAGCACAAATATCTATGTGCTAATTAAGTTCAACATATGAAGTGTACCATCAGTGTATATGTATTAACCACACATTAATACAGATATCTGGTAAGTTCCATATATGAAGTGTACAATCAGTGTATATGTATTAGCCACACATTAATACAGATATCTGGTCAGTTCCACATATGAAGTGTACAATCAGTGTACATAATGTAATTAACAACACAAGATCAGTGTACATTTTGTAATAACCAAACAAATACAGATATCTGGTCAGTTCCACATATGAAGTGTACAATCAGTGTACATATTGTATCAGAATTAACTACAAAAGTACACGTACCTTTATGAAGTATAACTATCAGTGCAGATACAGTGTCTAAACATGTAATACAGAATTATCTCTATCTTCTACATTCCACATATGAAGAGGACAGTTGATGTAAGGTCATAATTTGTGCTTTTGTGGAGCTCAAATTTCGTGGTTTTCTAGAAAATATTTTCTTGTGGGCACTTCTTTTCATACATTAACAGTACCCAAAAAGTCACCTTATAAAAACTTATGTTAGATTTATAAAAACTTAAAATTTTGAGAACAAATATATTCATGGATTACTTACCCATGAAATGAAAAAAAATTAAAGATACCACAAAAATTAAGGATTTTACAGTACATTGGAACCAAGATTAATAGTATTATTTCTGTACACACAATTATAGACTAAGGCCATCTGTAATACCCAGTTACTAAACTTCTTTATCAATAATTTGTATATCTGTATCAAACCTTGGTCTTTACATGAAACTTTACATTTGTGACAGGCAGTCCTACTTTGCTTGTTAACTTTGTCGAAAGATCTCTCACATCATTACATCAGAAACTATCTTAACACTTTGATATTCTGTTCCCTTTCGTTGGGATATGGATGACTTGCTGTACACTAGTTTCAGGTGACCCCCACTTTTGATACTAAGTAAGTAATTAAGAAATTTTGATTTTACAGAATATCTATTAGATCAAACTTAAATTTTTAAAAACCGAATTCAATCACTGCACATTATAATGTTGATAAAGCTTTCAGTAAATCTGACAGTACAAAGGGAAATGGGTCTGACATTAGGGTCATGAAATTATCTAAAAAACTGTCCTAACTTTTGACATAGTCAATCCTAGATACTGTCATTTAAAGAGACAATTGTGACTGGGTTAACAAAAACTTCAATTCAGATTGTGTCGTGGTCCCTAACCTTAACTGGGGTCTTACCAGGTAAATGACTAGCCATTGAAGTGACAGGGGTTAATTTGTGTAGGCCATTTAGTTTTTAAATCTAACAAGTTAAGATAAATTAATAGTGCATAATATATATGTCACAGTATAAAATTTGAGATGTCATTCTGTGATAATTAAATTTTTTGACTTCAATGTACTTAAATTTTGATACTTAAATACAATCATTTGAGTCTGTTTTAAGATTTTCATTGAAAACAATGTCCTAAAAATTCCCTTTGATCTCACTTTCAAAATGACAATTTAAACTCAAGCACCATAAACATGGCCAGTACAAAAATGAAGGACCTATGGCATTTATATGTTAAACTAAAACTATTGACTTATGTTCTCAAATTTCTATCTTAATGAACTTTAATAATTTTAACATTTGAAATAATCACTAATTTTTTGAATTTATAGACATTTTTGTTGACAAGACACCCATCTGATCAACAATGTATACATCACTGTTTTTCTTCCATGTATATTTTTCATGACTGTATGAGTACTTTAGTCAAGACAGATTGTCTTACAACAGTCAAAGTTTACGGTTTAATGTGAAAATGTAGACCTTGTTTCCATTTTGAGATATTCTAGTCAGAGAAGAAAGCCCAGGCTTCCAGTGTCTTGACCACAAAGTCTTCTGAACACGTCAAGATATCATTGTCATATGTTTCACAGTGTTGGGTTCTGCCATGGTAAATATCTCCATCGAACCAGAGTCCAAAATTTCCTCTACAAAAAAACAGTTATCATTAACTTAAAAGAAATTTTTCTACTTCCAGCTAATGTTTCGATTAACTCATTATGTCATCCTGGAGCCCCTTTGTTCAGTAAATACCATAAACCCAGGTTTTGTTTAATAATGCTTTGACAGTCATCTGAAATTGTTAGGCAGACCTCCAAAAGATCTTAATTGTCGATTCATCTATCTCACTACCCAGTTACCAATGACCCAGTTGCACCACTGTATAACCTACCACGACTAAATCAACAGTCCCACTATTCAGTCATTATTGATGTAGTTGTCCCACTACCCTGTCACCACTAATCCAGTTGTCCCAATACCCTGTCACCACTAATCAGTTGTCTCACTACCCTGTCACCACTAATCCAGTTGTCTCACTACCCAGTCACCACTAATCCAGTTGTCTCACTACCCAGTCACCACTAATCCAGTTGTCTCACTACCCAGTCACCACTAATCCAGTTGTCTCACTACCCAGTCACCACTAATCCAGTTGTCCCACTACCCTGTCACCACTAATCCAGTTGTCCCACTACCCTGTCACCACTAATCCAGTTGTCACACTACCCAGTCACCACTAATCCAGTTGTCCCACTACCCAGTCACCACTAATCCAGTTGTCTCACTACCCAGTCACCACTAATCCAGTTGTCTCACTACCCAGTCACCACTAATCCAGTTGTCCCACTATCCAGTCACCACTAATCCAGTTGTCTCACTACCCAGTCACCACTAATCCAGTTGTCCCACTACCCAGTCACCACTAATCCAGTTGTCTCACTACCCAGTCACCACTAATCAGTTGTCTCACTACCCTGTCACCACTAATCAGTTGTCTCACTACCCAGTCACCACTAATCCAGTTGTCCCACTACCCCGTCACCACGAATCCAGTTGTCCCACTACCCAGTCACCACTAATCCAGTTGTCCCACTACCCTGTCACCACTAATCCAGTTTTCCCACTACCCTGTCACCACTGATCAAGCTGTCTTGATATCCAATGCCCAATTACCAAGTTGTACTACTTTCTAAGTACCATTTACATACTCTTCAAGGCTGTTGGCATATGATACATATCGAATGATTAAACTTGCTATCAAGACAATAGATTCAATACAACAAAATTACCATAGAAAGTAACAATAACAAGGGGAGCTAATGCTAACTTAACCCATATGTTTCTACTGATGTACAGAAACATAGAACTTACTGTCCAGCTCCTATGAAAAGACTTTCTGAATTGCCTTTGAGGAAGAAATCATTTTCCCCTGTCCAATGGAAGACCTGCAAAAAAATAAGGAATGTTAAAAACATTGAAAATTTTACTAACATTGAAACTGGGACGAGATCAATTATTGTCAGCATTCCATAGTTTTACACCTCTGGATAAGCATAATCATTTAACAGCTAATGGAGAATATTGAAGCTTGCCTCAAAAAACTGCAATGCTGAAACACAGACCCACTTCTAACAGACATATTTTGCAGCAACAATTAATCATTACGTATTCAACAGTATGTACCCTGGTAATCAAACTATTTTCAAACCATTTACAATTTATAAGGAAAATGCTGAAAAGTTCGTTTTATTCTGACTGTACGAAATTTTTTATCAGCAACCTGCGTAAAAATACAGTTCAAGTCAAGAATCTTTTAAAAATATCATGTAAAAAGAGGCATAACTGTATGGTTGTTCAATTTTGCAGCCCATCCAGTATGGACTGATCATGATCAAATTTCACACATGTGTATCCATGTATTCATGTATATAACAAAGATTTCTTTACATTCTGATTGATGTTAAATGCATGCTGGTGATAATTTGCACTTTCTCTGACGACTGTGAAGATAGCCAAACTATTTCCCCGTGAATATTACCAGTTATACAGTACCTTGAATTCAGGATAAAAGGTGTACAGGAAGGATTCACCAGTTCCATAGAAATGATCACTCATCTTAAGAGCTTGTGATGTCACTGCTCCAAATATCTATAACAAATAGAGAAGTATATACAGTTTAACAACAGATAATATTTACTGTAATATCACAAACAGGTCTCGTCCTGAGATGAAACTAAACTGCTTGCCTAGGAAATGCAGGAAAATCCATGTTTTTTCCAAGTCTGACATTTTCTTGTCTCACCTTAGGCATTCCATGTTCTGAAAACAAGTGACCTCAGTGATGTGACCCGAAACTACCTTTATGAGGTCACACACATCTTTTGTTATACTCAAAACTGATCAAGTGTTATCGTCAAGGTTGAAACTCACAATGAATTCACAATGAATTATAAAGATATATTTAAAGAATAGACCCATGGGCCTTAACAGTTACCTGAGGTCTTTAGGGTCTTTGGACATTTTTTGAGCCTGTCCATCAGCCCCATCATTGGGGCACACATAACTGATATATGCATACTTAACAAGTTTTTGTTGTTTCTAAGATTGAAGGCTTAATTTTCAATTAAACAGAACTGATAATACTGTCTGTTGTTGTAGTTTAGCATATTTGACCTCTATGACCTTGATTGAAGGTCAGGGACATTCATTTGAACAAATGTGATAACCCTTCATCCAAGCATGCTACTTGTCAAATATCATAGCCCTGGGCCATTGTGATATTGAAAAGAAGTTGTTAAAATATTTTTAATACATTTGACCCCTGTGACCTTGAAAATAAGTCAAGGTCATTCATGTGAACAAACTCGCTAGCCCTTCATTCCAGTATGCTACCAGCCCAATACCATGACCCTGGGCCTTTTGCTTATTGAGATGGAGTGTACGTAAATTGTTTACGACAGTCGATGCCAGACAAAAGACAATTGCAATAGGTCACTTGAGACTTTGTCTCAGGTGACCTAAATATTTAGAGTATAATGATATTTGATGTGTTACTAGCATGTCAATTAGAATTATATTTTGTGCATGAAGAATCTAAGGTACAGGTCTTCACTATTTATATGCCATCCAATTGTTTTTGTTTATACAATAAACTTGGTCTTGCGCTCTGACAAGAAAAATAATTTAAGAGAAAAATAATTCATTCCCTTTAGGGGTAGATAGGGGATATCAACCATTGATGGAAGATTATCAAATTGTCAAACACTCAGCAGGCCTCATGTTTGACAACTTAATAATTTCCTCCGTTGGGTTGAGATTCCCCTGTCTCATCCTAATCTGTCTCCTGTGACCTTGAATATGGGTCATGGTCATTTCGTTTCGCTTATTTTATCCAAGCAACCTAGCAGCCAGATATGAAAACATTTGGTCCATTGGTTATTGAGAAGAAAAAAGTAAGGGTGAGATAGGTATATTTGATATGATTTTGGTTTTCTGAAGTGTTGTGTGCCACAAGTAAGATGGGGGATGTCTGATATCACTTACATTGTCTGAAGTGTCATGTACCACGAGTAGGATAGGACTGTCAATCCCTTGCATGTCCCTGTACAGCGTACGAAGACTAAAACCATGCTGCTCTGTACTGTAGATCATCATCCATGGATAGCCAATTGTACGTGGGGGCAAAACTCGATTTAACTGAAACAATTATATATTGTTATTGTAAAAGAAAAAGAATTTTAAAATATTCTTGCTCTTTGACTCGTATTCTATTTTTGAAATTTAATTTGAGTTAGTCTGTATAAAACACTAAAACACCAAATGACTATCATCAACAATTAACAAAATGAAGTTAGAGGACATACATAGCCTCCTGTCCATTTAGCTAATTAATGAAAGGTTTCAAAAAGGTCAAGTGTTATCTTGGATTCCTTGACCTTACCCGACGATGGCCGAAGTCTCATGAAGTTGTAACTAAGGTCATTATAATATAAAAACCCATTATAAATTGTATAACCAATGTACTACTGATCCAGCATTATTCATCAAAGTCTGTAAAAAGAAACTAATGACAGAAACCTTTGAGGTTACAAATCCTTAAGACACTTCCATCCTTGAAGAGCATATGACTCTACCTTACGTGCTGAGAAGAAGATTTTTGAAATTGGAGTCAATTTGATACTCTTTGCCCCAATCCCTTAGGCCCCTATGGGATGGGGACCATATAATTACATATTTTGGTTCATTTTAGGGCAGGGAAGATTTCTGCAAAATTTCTCTAAAATCAGTTCAGGGGTTTTTGAGAAGTCAAAAATGTGAAATTGTTTATAGATGTATGACTCCAGGCAAAGGTGACTGTAAACACAGTACAGTTGAGGTGATTTGGTTCTCAAAACCCTGCAGGAGCGACAAGCGACGCCTAGTTGAAGAGATTAAAACCCTCCAGTGACCCTGCTTAAGTGACTGCGCAGGAACATCACTCTTACAGCGATGAAAAGTGATGAGGATTAAATGCAAGATTTCTGTTTACCTGGGAGGTATTACTGAAAGATTGCTCCTGCAGCCATGGCGTGCAATGAGCATTAGCGGCTAGGCGATATCGCAGGAAGATTGCTCCTTTCACAAATGTTGTGGTTGCTGGATCTACCAAATTATTCCGCGAATCAGCTGAGGCTTCAAGAGACAGGTAAGAAAACCTATCACTACTGCACGGTTTGAGAACCAAATCACCACAACTGTAGTATATGTCACGATGAGACTTTGTCTCAGGTAACCTAACAAAGTGAAGCCTTGTTCATACCATGTAAATGTGTTTTTCCTCCATAATCTTGGACTGTCCTATAAGTTCAGGAAGGACCTCTGGTTCACAAGTTTTTTTCCTGTTCACCATCTCATCGGCACTTATAATCTGTGAAAACAGGGATCAGAAAATGTTAAAGAGCAGCGACAGAATCAGTGTAGTTCCCCTCTAAAGGCCTCTACATTAATATCTAATTAATTTTCAAGTTTGTCTGACTGCTCACAACCAGCTGAATGTTTTCCTACTTGAAACAGAGCATCTGAATGGGAATAAATTATAGTTTTATCATACTGTAATACATGTCCATGCATTGCCAATTATGTAAAGGAACATACAACGACCTAGAAAAATCACAGCTTTAAATTACTTTTTTCAAATGAGTGATGTTTAATGATAGTAGATATTATATATATAAAAACAAGTCTGCATTGAATCTCATTTCACAAAACATTTCTTACCAAAGATACAACATAATTGATTAAAACATGTAGAGTTGTCTCCCTTGTAATGCCACTAAATATACACTGCCATTTATAAACATGGTGATACTCACAAGTAATTTAACCTGAAATTCATTATTATCTTTTGAATCAAAGATGCTTGTTAATTTCCTCTGATGCTGTTAAAATTTTTGAGCGAGAGCTACATATAGTTTATACAAAAGGCCCAGGGGCCTTCAACAGCCACCTGAGTTATACCCTTTTTTTAATCAGATATATTTCCATAAGGTAACTTGAGGTTATACTTCCCAAAGTATTATACTGTCTGTATATGTTTGAAAATGGCAGTGTAAAAGAAAAAAGCATGCAAAAGGTTTTCAACCAAGAAAGAGTAGAAATTAAGGAGAAGAACCTACATTGTACCATTTAGATAGAGATATCTTCATATAATAATGGTGATGATATAGTATGTATTAAAACAGTAATATATTCAAATACCACGATAATTTATACTGAAATAATCACACAAGCCTGAAAGTATATCTTACAAAAACATCCCAGAGGGACCGTGGCACCCACCATTGTCTGATCTTAATTTGCTCTTTGAAAATTGGATTTTTTCCCTTCTTTTCTCTTCTCTGTTTTCGCTCTTAGTGATAAGAAATTTGAACATTTTTTTGCAGAAACAGAGATGATAATCTTTAACTGATAAATCCAAAATTGGTCTCCAGGAAGCCATATAGTTTCTTCTGATCAGTCCCAAAATCTAATGGGCACACATAGAGACCAACGGGAACATACATATGAAATTTGAGAGAGATCTTAAGAATTGGGGATAACAATCTTTAGTATGTGAAATTAAAGATGGCTGAATGTCTGCCATTTTGTTTTTCCTAATCAGACCCCAAACCAAATAGGCACAACTATGGACCACAGGAAACCTACATATGAAATTTAAGAAGGATCCATCCGGAGCTTCTCAAGGAAATAGTGACAACAAAAATTGTGTACAGACTGATGGATAGACGACAGACCATCAACAAAGGGTGATTTGAATAGCCAACCATCTGATGATGATGGGTTAAAAATATAACTGAAACTGCAGAATCAAAGTTATTAATAAGCAATATTGTGATAAAAACGTCAAATTAAGAATGAGATAGACAGACATAAATTGTCCTTGCTTGCCTGGCTTACTGCTCTTCTGATTCTCTAGGGCACAATATCATACATAATACAAATTAGCCAATCAAAATTGAGTGTCATAAAAGCCAATCAAATGTGAATATAACGACAACCAAACAAATGCAAGTATACTACATATATCGCAGCATATAAACGTGATTTATTTCAAAACAAGTGGCCCATCAGGCCTGTATCGTTAACTTAGCTTTGTTTGGCTGAAATTGCTTCATCCAAACTAAAGGAAAAGGAAGACTAAATTTCCACACACACAACTCATACTGCAGACAGTAAAGTACTTATAGGGTCAGCTACAAACCTGTCATTTTTACAAAAGAAGAATTTTAAAGAATGAGCTCTATTTCCCCTGAAATGGGTCTCGCCTCCTATCCCAAGGGACCTAGACCCACTATTTATACAAGACTGATTTCAATTTATTCCAGGTTTTGTCATACCAAATTTCGACAAAATCCATTCATTCTTACAGTGAGAGTAGGATTTTAAGGAATTTGTTATATTTCCCCTATTGAGCCAAGCTCTCCCCTATTGAGCCCAGCTTTCCCCTATTGAGCCAAGCTCTCCCCTATTAAGCCCAGCTCTCCCCTATTGAGCCAAGCTCCTCGGACCCCTGTTGAGCCCAGCTCTCCCCTATTGAGCCAAGCTCCTCGGACCCCTATTGAGCCCAGCTCTCCCCTATTGAGCCCAGCTCTCCCCTATTGAGCCCAGCTCCTCGGACCCCTGTTGGCCAAGATTAACCATTTACAAAAAATCTGCTGTACTGTTCAGCAAAGGATGCTTCTGTTCAATTTTTTCAAAATCCACTCAGTCCTTCGATACTAGCAGTCATTTGTGAAAAAGTTGGGTATACAGAAGATGGGGGGGTGGGGGGTTGGGTTGGGTTGTGAGTGAAATAACAAACCCACTGTTTTGGAAATAGAAAAAAAGGTTTTGGGAGATTTCAGTACACTTGATTCCTCTTGACCTTCAAAGTGGGTCAAGGTCATTAATTTGAACAAAGTTGGTATCCTTCATCTGAGCATGCTACAGGCACAATGATTGTTCCTGTGCATTTTGATTATTAAAAAGAAGCCATAAGCTCACTTGCCCTTAATATATGTGAGCTTAAAATGTTCCATTGTTCATACATTTTTCCTGCAAACAGAATTTTCAGGTAAGTATATTAAAGGTTAATACAAAACCACATCAAGTCACCCCACAATGTAAGTTGATATTATTATACAAACAATGACGCCTTGATCAGGCCAACCACTGACATATTATACCAATAAGGACATGTAATCCCAACAAAGTACAAACCCAAAATTCTTCTGGATCCAATCTCTGCAATCAGGGGCAACAACTCATGAAATATCTGTCTACACTTATAAAACATTTTTAATTCACACTTTGATTGAATGATCAAAATATTTGACAAATATTATAGAAAACATGCTCCAATGTCATCCTGTCACAATGTTCGGAGTCTCTTATCAACAATATCGCCATCAATAAGGAAATGAAAAATAATCTCCGTCAAGGCTGACAGATTAGTAATTAATTCTTTTCTGATGTTATTACATCTAATCTTTGTTTCTGCCCTTTAGGAACAATTAGGACAAAACAATTAACATCTACTTTATGGCTAAGGAGAAAGTAGAGTGTATAAAACATCACAAGACTGATAACTTTATCTGGTTCTGACAGCCTTGACAGAAATGACCTTTGACTCTTGACCTCTTACCTCCCAGTCCTTCTGCAGCATGCCATTACTGAAGTACTCATCCATCATTTCCAGTTTTTCTTCTTCTTCATCCTCCTCCTCGTTCAGGACAACAAATCCTCTTTTTTCAGCAATGTCATCTTCTCCTCCGTAAATCTGTGGCGTCCATTGTACAAAAAAGGCATAGAGATGATCTACTCTGAAATTTAAAAAATACACAAAGTTAAGGATGTATGCTACCTTATTGACTGGAAGGCTAAGTTAAGGATGTATGCTACCTTATTGAATGGAAGTCTTCTTCATTTGTAAGAAAAAATTGTGAAGTTCTTTTTCAAGAATTCTGATTTGAACATTAAGTTTTCATCAGCCCCATAGTGTTAAAGACAAACTTATTACAGGTAAAAGGCTAACACTAGGGCAGGTATGAGGAGAAATTACCTGATGTCTTTCATTTATTAATGATAATTACTATTCCCTGCTCAACGCTCAGCGTTATGGTAGTGTAACAACTGGTTTGCCCATTGTCAGTATAATATGACAAGGTAATGTATACCGCTGGTTTGACAGTTTACTTGAGTGAGATAGCACTACAGTATAAAAATTTCCTTTAAATCTTTTGGTACTCAATCCGGGTGGGTCATATATGCATGATGCATATCAGAGCACATGGCAGTTCTCACTTCAGTAAAAGGATTATATATGACTGTGTGGTGTATATGATATCAGAATGTTGACATTTATTGTAATCTATCGTATGAAATGAGTTGAAATGTTTTAATTGAATATCTGTACTGAAATATGAACCAACCATTCAGTGATGAAAAGTATGACTGGTCATGTGCTTGTCCTATCACTTGTTTGTAATTGATCTCTTATTAGTAACATAACTCCATTTTTTAGTTACTCTAAACCTTATAAAATGACTACTATGTCCAATCGTTATATTGTGTGATATAAACAGGTAATGTTCATTTCGTCAATACAAATAGTAGATGTGAATTCTTATTTACATAATTACACTGCTTGTCATCATTGATCCCCCTGGAGATATTCAACACTATACTGTAAATTCTTCCTTCAATCACCCTGTATTTCTCGGGAACTAGACAAAGGGGTGTAGGCACCCACTACCTACCATGCAACTTAACCCGGTGTTGACTCAAACTTTTTATTTTGAAATAATTTTTTAAAATTTCATTTCTGGCTTTCTGAATTTTAGTACAGTGGTATTCTATCAGCAAGAAAAATGTCTACTAATGTGTAGAAAATCTAAGCAACAGCAAAAGGCTACAATTATCGCAATAACCTCCATATTTCATCAAAAAGACAATTAATATGTTAACTTTACAACAAATTATGAAAAAAAAATTATTAAGAGAATTCCATAAAATTCATATGGCCCATTATCCTTCCTTTGAGTAAAATGACTGCTTATCATGGAGTTAATATCAAAACAATAAAACACTTGGTGAAAACTCTCACTGATTACTGATATGTATATATCTATTTAAGTTACAACCAAATATCAGTTTTAGATGGTAAAAGACATTATTGCTTATTTAATATTAAGTAACTCAGATAGAAGTATGTATTTCAAATTTTATGTCCACAAATTTTTTTCCACTTGAACACAACATAATCAGCTAACTCAATATCTTTTGTCATGGAATAGAGACCTACAAAGTTTTGTTAACTTACTTCTCACGAGGTATAGAAAACCAGTACTCTGGTTTTTTACGACCCTTGCCATAGGCCTGTATGGGGCATGTCTGAGAAATCTCCTTGTTAATAGGCATGCCAAGGCGTAAACACAGGTATAAAGGGAGATCATCAAAGGTTGCTGCTGGTTTGGGAATTAGTTCTGTAAGAAAAAAAGGTAAAATACACACAATCTTTGAAGTGCAACTACACAGTCAGTAAGTTAGACTTAAAATGTTCTTTTTTTCAAGCAATTTTCAACAAACTTTACTTTATTTAATTGGTAATACATGTACTTATGATTTTGATCATTAATACTAATTAAGTATTTGATAGTCGACTGTGTATTGGGTTTATTTGTGATCCAGTCGTGCTTGAAAAATCCTGCCAAAAAACTTTATGATAAGACAAAAAACTCCCAATATTTACCGTTTTGAGCCCTACAAAGATGAAACAAGAGACCTTAAAAAACACTAAGATTACTTTGACTACAATGTACACAGAATGCAAATGTAAATTGTGTATAACATTAACTACTGTATATAGTAAATTTTACCCCTCCCCTCCTTACACTAAAAAATTTGTGTTATTTCAGTAACACTCATGACAAAACTTTATTAGCTATTGTGTCAGTGCTTATTGAAACCTTACGAAAAAATTAATAACACTGATGAAGGTAAAAAATCACACAAACGCAGTTACTTAAGATTAATGTCATGATTTAAATGAAAAAGGACACTAGTTTTCAAATCTTCAGTAGTTTTGATACCATAAACTATATATTTGTAAGTTTGTAGTGTCATGTTCAAACATCAAGTGACATGGACAAGTTATTGTAAACAGCCGTAAGAAATGTATTCAGAAAGACAACTTTAATTAATATTTTCTGGCCTATGAACCCCACCTGAATATAAGCCTCGGGACAGTTTTAAGTCATTTTCACGGTTTGCTTGGCGTATAAGCCTCATCGGTGTTTAAGCTGCACTCTTTCTTATGATATGATGACCACTGTTGTTGACGTTTGATATACCATTAACAGATAACATAAGGAAGTTTTTGTTGATTGTCAGTGTAACATTTAATAAAGTTGACTGATGAATTTTGCACAAATAATCCTTTATCTTATGGATAATGCTGGTCATTTAAAATACATAAAATAGTGAACTTGTTTGGGGCCTTCAATGATTGCCAACACAGGTAGGGCCTGACTTATACACAGTATTACAACCTCTACACCAGTGTCTTTAATGTTAAATATTAATGAAGGCTACAGCATGTTGAAAAAGTTCCTATAATTCCGTAATACATTTTTGTAAGCTGTCAAAGCCGGGGACAATGTAAAAAAAAAACATGGCAGCCGTTCTAGAATTTGACCCCGTCACCAAAAGACGCAAACCATATCCGTGTGTAAATGGGCATGGTGAGGCCCCCAGACATTCTTTTTTATTTTTATTTTATTCATCAGTAAATATTTACCTAATTATGTATGTCTTCCAAAATTAATTGAGCATGAATCTTCAGGGCCATTCACAATGTCCTAAAGGTTCTCAAAAAATCAAAGTAATAGTATACACAATTATATGATTTTTCTGTTGCCCTTGTCAGAGGCCTCAACCTATCAATCCAGGTGCAACAGTCTACTGGAAACATCCACTACGCTTTCTTGCATATACTGTTGTGAAGAAACCTCTTAAGACAAGAAAATATTACTGATTCATGTCAACAGGTATGATTAATTAAATCCATGGGAATGTTATTCGATTGCAATTTTCAAATCATTTAGTATACAATTGCGATTCGTTCTTCACAATTTGTTTTAGTCATGAACACATGGTACTCGTAAAAACCAGTTTATGACATCTTGTACTGGTACTAAATTTTTCCCCATTCTACCAATTTTTTTGGTTTCATCCACGTATAAGCTGCACTGGCATATACGCCACACACCCTCCTCATGAGGAAAAAAGTTGTGGCTTAAAGGAAAATACAGTAAAACATTAATCAGAATCAGTGGTCAGGTGGTGCAGTGGTTATCCCTGTCACCTTGACCTCCGTGATTCAATTTCCAGAACAAACATGAAAAGGTATGGGGATCACCAGCATGACCAAATGGGTTTTCCCCACCGTGGTTTACTCTCACAGTTATTCCCATCACACCCTTCCATCCAGACCAATAAGAGTGATTAATAAAAACTGGAGTAACTTGTTTTATGACAGTTTTGACATAAACTTTGATTTTTAAATCAGAATAAAAAAAAACATACATTGTTTTCAAAAAAAAAATTTAACACAAAATGAAATTTTCAAAATCTAATATGGTTAGCTGAAAGCAGTTATATGTATGATTTTCAAATAACTACTGGATATAATATGAAGAGTATTCCATTAAATAACTACCTTGTTATTTGTGTAATTACATCCAATATTTTTTTTTTGCAATTTTCTTATTTTCCAAGTTTTTCATTAAAACATATAAAACATTAAAATACATAAACACATTTGCATTCTTACAGGTATTTATTTGTTTCACACACTGTTTAATCAAGATGAATTACAAAATATAAAAGGAAAAGTTTAGAAATAATTTGATTTTCAAAATGCATTTAAATAAGACATTTTTACCCCCAAAATGATTAATTCTCAAAATTAAACCAATACGACATTTTCATCGCAAAAAATCCTTCTCCCTGATGATCAGGGAAAGGAAAATCCTAGAAAATACTCTATAAATGGTTGATATATGAGCTGATGTGTCCACAAAGTCAAGTGATCAGATAATATACTAAGTTTGGTTTATACGTTGGCCTTACGGTTTTAGTGATAGGTCTAAACACAAAATTTACGATGAAATGTTGAAGACAACATTGTTGCCACTGAAAAGTAAAACCATATATAGTCTTGTTTTTGCAACTACTGAAAGCAGGCAAGACAAAAAAAAACTGATGTAAGGCCTTTGTTTTAGCTATATTTATTTACAAAACAGCTGTCTAGGTTTGTTGGCAAGGAAGATAAATAACTATTAATACATAATGACATTAAAGGGGTCTGTTTGTTTATGTGTTGGCAAACTGCTTTCTTGGCACTTTGTATGTAGCACTTCAGTTATCTATTGCAATGTACTTGCAGATATTTTATATACAGGCTTTTAAAGGTATAGTTGAAGCTTGCAAGGAGGTAAAATATGACTAATAGATCTGCCCTTATTTCATATAAATGAACAATCCTGGTCCGACTGGCCAAGCAGATAAACAGCAAGCATCATTAAACTGGCTAATTTAGCTACTCAGCATTTTGATAAAGAATTCCAAATATAATCAATAATTTCTGAATATAATTTTCCTATTGGGTCCCAGCCTTGTGGTCAAACAGATGTCATGTTCACTATTAACAAGAGGCCCATATGGCCTGTATCACTCTCCTGCATCTTAGAGCCAGCAATGGTATACATGTCATAGGTTGGGTATTTAAAATCTTTCCAAATTAAAGCTCAGTCGCTTCAAAAATGGGGCAAAACTAATGGATAAATTCTTATATCTCTACTGTATTTCTCTTCTGATAACCAGTAAGATTTTATACGGTTAACGGGTTGGTATCTGAACTACGTCAAAAGTATGACCCAAAAATAAAGCCCTTAGAGGAGTGCAACACCCAAAGGTCAATTCTTACATAACAAATTTGTTTATCTCTTAATGACAAGCAATTCTATATATATGAATGGTTATGGGGAGGTGATTTTAACTGTATCAAAGACATAACCCTGAAACTAAGTATCAAGGGGTGGGATACACCCCAGGGCCAATTTTTACATCATGAATATGTTTAAACCTGCATAATGTGCACACATACTTGATTTGCGCAGGTACTTTTTGGGGCTGAAAATGGTAGAAAAATAAGCTTCTACATGCATAGTGTGTGCACCCAAAAATTCTGTCAAATCGATTTCTGGGTGCCAAGAAATCAATTTTGGAATGTTAAGCTAACATGTCAGACCAATGATATGAAGTCCAAAAGTTAGAAGTATCCTCTTTAAAATTTGTTTTCATCTCACTGACATTTAATAACCTTCTATTAAATTACAGCCAAATGTTTGTGCACCATCTTGTTTGTATTCTTTGATATCAGATGTGTCATACAGTCATTCACTTACATATCCTATTTGCTCTATTTCTCCAATTGGCTCCCAACCTTTTGCCCCAGGGGGCCGAGACCCACCATTTATACAAAATTTATTTTCCTTAACCAAAGCAGGCTTCAGATCAATTTTGGACAATATCCTGCAATTCCCAGGGTTTTCCATAAGAGCCAGCCGCCGGCCAATTTGACCGGCTACTTTGATGATTTGGCCGTCTACACCAATCCAGTTCCGTAATAATGTTCCGTACACGACTACACGTACACGGCAGGCCAGCCTCCTACTTTCACTACACAGCCTACTACTAACAAAATTATGGAAAACCCTGAATTCCTGAAGAACAAGATAAACTTTAAAGAAATTGATAGATTTTCCCTTTTTGGCCCCACCACTTTCGCCCCAGAGGGCCGAGACCATCCATTTATACAAAATTGATTTTTTCTTCTCCTAAGGATGCTCCCGACAAAATTTGGTTGAACTTAGCGGGTCATGACTAGTAACAATTTGTAGAAAAATTTCACAGACAAATGGACAACAGACGATGCATTATGCCAATAGTTCACTTTGGCTCTTCAAGCAAGATAAGCTTATTACTATTCCAATGAAATCTGAAATCTACAGATTTGTAGATACAAATATAATGTAAACATTCATGGACACACATTTATAATTCCTTTTAGCCTGATAATTATAGGGAAACTTCAAAATACAAAGATACATTATGATATTCCATGAAATTAGGTCATAATTTGAAAATAAAAGACATGACCACTCATGGCCACTCCTATGTGACCTTTCATATTTGAATTTGGATGACGATTACCTTTACACGATCAGGTGTTACAGTAAAACTTGATGTTACGATCAGATGATATTATTGGGTAGACAGAAAACCATGAGAGACAGGTAAGGGCAACAGTGAGTATAATTCTATGTCTGATTAGCAATCGGTCTAGATCTCCTACCATGGCAGAGGCATCAAAAAAGTTGTTAAAGCTAAATAAAGAATGACTCTGGGTATGTCATTTCTGTACAGACATCAAACAAGACAACATCAAACAACACATAACTTACCAATCCCTGGTTAAACACACAAGGAATAAAAGCAAAATGCACTGGTGATTATCATCAAACACTGGTGTTAAAAATTGTATGTGGAGTATATATTTAGATTTTATATGTCAATCAGTCTTGAACAATAATGAACAGAAAATGAAATTTAAACTTTCAAAGCATCTCAGCAGTTGGTGCAATAGGAAAATTATCCAAATTATCAAAAATCTTCACTACAAAATAATGCAAATGAACATGGTATAGAGGAATAAATATTATAAATGTAATATGATGAAATGAACATCAGACAAAGTACTTCACTAACATAGTAACATTTGTTTATTTACTAATCATTAAATATGTAGACGCTGAGAGATAATGATATTACTGTTGTGTCCACTAATGTTTAACTATCAATATACAGACTGAGTTAGCAGCAAAATAAAAAAATAGAAAATACATGCTGTTCTATTTTATCTAAATGAGAAGTAACTGAGGCACAAGGGAGGTAACTGATCATCAATCAGACAAATAGCAAACTTGGTTATTAATTTTTGTACCAGGTATAAAATCTTTCTTGATTTGTGTTTTCCCCTTGGGCCTTTATCACTTTATGAAATTATAATAATTATGCACTGGTTAATGTACTAAACAATCAAAATTAAAATTTAAAAATCTCAAATGAAAAAAGAAATCAGTCGAAATATGTTAAATTTCAGCATGGGCTTTTTAAGGTAATGAAATAGTTATGTACATTATTTTAAACACTTAGCAGTGTATATAATTAATAAGGGTCATGCATTTCTATAACAATCTGAAAATGAAACACTTCAGTATTAATTCTATAGTTAGTATTGCCTACTTTCACATCAGTACACAGTTAAACCTCTACATCTCTTTTGTTCAAATGCATTGTATGTGACCAGCACAGCACATCTAATTTTTTTAATCTGAGATTATTTCTTTGCTGAACTATGACCTAGATAATATAGAAAGTATACATACCATCAAAAGACTGAAACAGTTCTGGTTTATCTGTCAGTTTTATCGCATTTTCAACTTCCAATCCTGACTTTACTGTGCTCCTTTGAATGCTATTTTCTGTCTGTGGAGTACTGACAACACCTTCCTTCCCCTGCGTTTCCATTTCTGACATGGCTTCACAGATGTCTTTGACTTCCGCATTAGTTTTGAATAATCCAGTTGCATAATTGACAAATGCACTCAAATGTGGCGAAACATTGAATGATCCAAACGAACCTGAATGCCTTGCATCACCTGTTGAGGCTTTGTTTGACCCTGGAACATCCACAGCTTCTGAGACAGATTTATCCTCCTGTTCAAACTTGTCCACACTAATCTTACTGAGTCTGTCCTGTGCTGTTTCCACATCACTCAGAGTTATTGCCCCTTGTTGGTCCTCAGAAACAGGCAAATAGACAATGTTGCCGATCTGTTCCATAGTAGAGTCATTTTCAGTGTTTTCATTTTTTTCTGAATTCACAGCGCTTTGCACTGATAAAACACGTTCCACAGCCATAGTGTTTTCAAAGTGAAAAGAATTTGCATCATCATTATTGCCAACCATTAATTCCTGACAAGAAGCAGTTAGTTCTTCACTGTTAGAGTTATCTCCCCTTGACAGCAAGGAATCTAACTGTATCAGTCCAATCTTTCCTTCCTCTGCATCAACACTAGCAGTTTGATTTAAATTATGGTTATCACTATCCGATTCGTCTATTTTATCCTGTTGCAACAGCTTGTTCTCTGATTGGTTAGTTTCAGTTGGATCTGCACTTATGAATTCTCCAAATTCATCCATGGATGTGCTTCTCCCTTTTCCAACATTTAATTTATCAGCATCTACTTGGGAAAAATTGTCATCACCATGTTTGATGTCTAAATCAAGCAGCATGACATCATCTTCTGACTCCCTGTTCACTGGTTTGTCCTCATTTGGTGAAAGTCTTACAGGTGAAACATCAGATGTGGTGTGATTGATAGGAGACAGACCTGACGTACTTTGACAGCCAGGAGAAAGACGTGTCTCATTTTTACCAGCAGGAGACAGACCTCCTGCACTCTGACTGCCAGGAGAAAGCCCTGGGGCATTTACTCCTTGCCCACATGAACACAAACTTCCAGTATCTGACATTTCACTGTTAATGGTTGCGCTGCGACTTGGTGAACCAACTTTAGATGCACAGGACTGTGGGTTCTGTTTCATCAGCTCAGCGTGACCTTCAACCCATGACTTATAGAGTGGACAGCTCAGGTCATGGTAGATCTCTGGTTTTGGTGCATCATTAGTGTGTCTGGAGAAAAAGAAGATTGATAATTACTCACAATTGTGAGCCCTTGGACCCAGGTGAGCTAAAAATAGGTTTTGAAATCAGGATTATTTATGCCAAACGTTGCCCAACCAAAACATCTGGCCAACAGGAAATAAATGTATTTTGGTAAAACCTTCATATTACCCTTAACCAAAACTTAAAGCATAGCGTTGTACCAGGTAAATGAAATTATAATCAGTAGATGTAAATCTATAGATGTAATGTTATATGTAGAACTAACCCTTTGTCTCCATGAATACTCATCGCAGCAATATCGTGGTACATAGCAGCGCTGACGATCATGTCCATCGGAGCTATCACACCATAACGTTCAGCTCCATGCTCCAACACCAAAGGATCGGACACATTCGGATCAAACATGACAGCATTTGGAGTAACCAGCAGCACCCCACTGACCACTCCCTAACAATCACAACCAGAACAGCATCATGTTTCTGATTTTCTCCCGAAATCGAATCACATGCATTGAAGTGACTATAATGTTAAAAAACACTACGAGAAAATGACATAAACATTCTATTTTCCAATAGTATGTTACAAAACTAAGACTTTCTGTTAATTACTAAAAATAATATGTGATATATTTGATAATGTACATAAACCTGTCAATCAGTGCTGTGTTTGATGTAATTGTTGAAGGCTGTGTTGAGCCCATATGTATACAGTCATGCCTAACTCTGTTATGTCAGTTTGAAATGCAATTTGTTGACCCCAATTGTACAATCATGATTACCTGTCCATCTGTGATGTGTTTCACTCGGACCTTGATGAAGCGTTCGTGACACTCCTGGTCCAGCTGTTTTGCTTCTTCTTCTGATAGTTTGTGTGGTGACTCATCTTGGCTGGGGGATGTCGTTGATGTTTGACGTTCGATATGTCCTGGAATTTTTGCAGGTGGCTTGTCAGCCATTTTTACTAAAGGAATATCCTGTTGACAAAAATCCAGAAACCTTTGAATTGCTGTCCAACCAATGTTTGTATGCATCTGTAGCAGATGACTAGATAGGAAAACATTGAGCAGGGGCTTAAAACATTGTAAAAATATATATTTTCATAAGGCTCAATTTTTGTGATTTAAAAAAGTTCTATTTTTGGACACTTGATTTTATGGATAATTATAACTCATTAAACCTAATTACACTAATTTCAACAGTTCTTGGACAAATGAATTCAAGAATTGAGGGTAGCTACCAAAATCAATAAAAATAAAACTCTCACAAAAAATTAATGATGTTACAGTAAGTCTTACCCCAACCAGGCCAGATCTATAATAGCTCAATCAGTTCAAGGGTTACCTTTAGGTCAGACTAGGTATAAGATTAGAGGTATGTGGTCTGGCACTTTATACATGTGGCAGTTTGTGTTTCCCAGGAAACTGACAAACAGAACAGTTTGTGCTGTCATGGTTGGATCCTCTGGCAAGACACGTTTCCCTTATTGATCTTGATGATATAGGATGGGCCTCTTGTATATAGTTCAGTGAGTAATAACCAGCTACTAGTAGGCAACCACACCTCAAAATGACCCTGGCCATTCACCGGTGATAAACAAACAAGAGGGATCTTGACACCCACCATTGTTTGATCTTTATTTGCTCTTTGAAAATTCTATCTTTTCCTTCTTTTCTCTTCTCTGTTTTTGCTCTTAATGATGAAAAATTTGAGCATTCCTTTGCAGAAAAAGCAGTGATAGTCTTTACCCGCAAAATCCAAAATGGTCACCTGGAAGCCATTTTTCTTCTGATCAGTCCCAAAATCATATGCACACAAGTAGAGACCAAAGGGAACATACATATGAAATTTGAGAGAGATCTCATCTGTACTTCTTAAGAAATAGGGATAACAATTTTTACTAGGTGAAATTCAAGATGGCTGCCAGTCGGCCATTTTGTTTTTCTGGTTAGTCCCAAACTCAAACAGGCAGAACTAGAAACCAAGAGGAATCTATATATGAAACTTGAAAAAGATCTATGCAGCGTTTATCAAGAAATAATGATAACAAACTTGGAAATTCAAAATCCAAGATGGTCACCTGTCAGTCCCAAAATCCATCAGGCATAACTAGGGATCAAGGGAAACATACATATTTGAGAAAGATCCAACAAGTACTTCTCAAGAAAAAGCGATAGCAAACCTTGTCTACAGAAGGACAGATGGACAATAGACAATGAAACAAACCTCTCATTTCAAAATGTGACACATAATCAATTTACTTCAATGATGACCACAAATCTCATCATCAGTTGTAGAACTTGATACTGTATTATGACACATGATGTGACTTTAACTCCTACAACCAGCTAATCAAGCTTCCCATGATATGGAAGACTACTGTCTGTTGTGTTTCTTGAAGGGGTAATGCATACCATACACGGTCGATGTTCTGTTGTATCGGCTGTTTCCGACCCCTTTGGAGAGGATGCTTGTGGTTTTATTTCCTCTAATACCTCCTCTGGCTTCGGAACAAAGAGCACCTACAAGTGTTAAAAACGTTATGGTTTTGAATGACATGTACTGATACATTAAGAGGTAAAAGTGTAAAAGACGTTATGGTTTTGAACGACATGTACTGACACATTAAGAGGATACAACAGGCCAAAACTTAAAAAGTACAAGGACTAACTTCACAGTAAATGGAATTTTATTTTCTGCTCACCTGCCCAGGAAATATCAGGCGACTTGTTAACCGATTCAGTTTTTTCAGCTCAGAAGGAGTTGTGTCAAAAAATGCTGCTATGCTCTCTAAGGTATCTGAGTCTTTTACCTGCAAAACAGTACAAAATTTCATTCCGTTGAACTCTTACTGGTTTAAGTTTACAATAGTACAGCACAAGATCCCAGAGGAATCTTGGTGATCCATATTATTTGGTCTTCATTTGCTATGTGTAAGTTTGATCTTTTAATGCCCTCCATTTTTCTCCTTTTGTTTGATTTACTCATAAAATTTGACATTTGAAAATACCTCTCAAGAAAATAGCCTGAAACCATAGGGAATCTGCAGATGAAATCTGAGAAAAATCCTTCATGTACTTCTCCAAAAACAGGAATAAAAACTAAATTTTGTTATCAAAATCCAAGATACCATCTGTCAGCCATTTTGTCTTTCTAAACAGGCTCAAACAGAAAAGGACACAACTCTTTATGTTTCAAATTTATAGAAATTTAAAAAAAATTGATTCTGTCCATAACAAGATATAACAGTATAATATGTCTCAAAGACACTCAGAGATGCTGTGTATGATGTGTTTTGAAACAAGAGGCCCAATGGGCCTGCATTGTTCACCTGTTTGTTAATTGACATTAAGTTGTGAAACATCACAAGGTGACTTAACAAGTTTCAACAACCTGCTAAGAATTTATAACAGTTGACCTCATGATGTTAAAAGTTTAACAAGGTTGTGAAGTTGGACAAACTTGGAAGTCATCATATCAGCATGTTATTGGTGAAATTTCATTCATTTTAATAAATTTGGTAGTCTTTCATTCCAGCATGCTCCAGACCTTATATCAATATCCTCGGCCTTTTGGTTACTGAGAAGAAGTTGTTTGAAGATTTCCATATATTTGACCCCTGTGACCTTACAAGCAGGTCAAGGTCATTTATTTTATTAAACTTGACAGCCTTCCATTCCAGCATGTTACACGCCCAATTTCAGTACCCTGGGCCTATCCCTTATTGAAAAGAAGTTGTATGAAGTGAAAAGTTGACACCAGATGGAAGATGGATGGGTCCACGGATGACAGACTACGGCACAAGCTCACTTGGCCATTCAAGCCAGGTGAGTTAATAAAGGAATAAAGGAAATAATATGTAAGTATGGAATGACATATAATCTTGAGTGATTGGTCATGCTGATTATATATATATTAAATGAAGGTTCAAGGCATATAGTCAAAATAAGATCTTCATGTGATTATTATGGTGGATGAGTGTGATCAGAGAGGTAAAAACTGATCATGTCCAATCAAGTGCGACTCTGAAATCTGAAGCTTGGGTTGAGATTTCATCATCGATGATCATTGATACAGGTGTAGGATTTGAAAGAAACTGCAAAATTTCCCCTTTTTGGCCCTTGCCCCTAAGGCCCTCAGGAACTATGCAAAAATGTTACCCTTCCCCTTAGGATGCTTCAGACCAAATTCGGTCTAAATCCCATCAGTTGTTCATGACTATAGTAGTGCTTTTTAGAAAAAGTCGAAGAATGTCAAACAGATGATGAATGCCTCTGTATAGCTGACTTGGCCCTTTGGGCCAGGTAATGTAAAAAAAATAAATCTGGAGTTCTGTTTGATGAAATGTTGTGAAAAAATAAACTAAACTGCTCCAAGGATTTTCCACCAATGACCTTAACTTACTGAATACTCATCTGCACCATCAGGCTTAATTTTCTTGGGCTTTTTGTCTGGTATTTTCTGGCCTCCAGCAGCACTCACATTGTCTCCATTGGAACTGACTGAAATTAACCCAGAGTCACATGACCCTGTGTTGTCATTGACCTCTGACTCACTGTCAGGGTCAAGGTCCATAGAGTGTGTATACCAGGTAGTCTTGGAGTTATCTATGAATGAAATAACACTTAACTATATAGATTAAAACATTGAGGAATACAATCATAAATGCAAGAATTTGAAAAATATACAGCTCTGTACATATTCCTTTATAATTTTAACAAGGATTCGAAAATATCAAAACTTCATACTCATGTAAATAAATCACACATTTGTTAGGTTTTCCTGTTCATAAACAGCAAATATTGTATGTGTATGCAAATGACCTGTCATGTAGATTTACCAATCATATATGAGAGCTGATTGATAAGTTGGGAGCCTCATATCTAAGGGTTTGACTTTTAGCAGACATATTGCATTATTTTTCAACATAGTCCCATTCAGTATCTATACACTTTTGCCAGGGATGTTTAAGGGCCTCAATGCCACTTTTAAAGAAGTCCTTTTCTTGACCGTTCAAAACATCCTCCACTATTGTATGGTGTCATCATCTGACTGAAAGTGGGTACCTGAAATGTCCTTTTTCAATTTTGGAAAAAAAGATGGTAGTCTGATGGAGTGAGATCAGGTAAATAAGGCAATGCTCAATCAATTCAAAGCCACAATCGTTAATGGCAGTCATAGCAATGACAGCCTTGTGAACAGCGCATTATCTTTGTGGAACTGAGTTTTCCGGGCACTTGAGTTTTAATACTTTCTCTTAACTGCCTAAGAAGTGATGCATAATTTGTGCCATTGATTGTTTGTCCCTTCTGCAGATAATCTACCATCAGAATACCATCAGCATCCCAGAAAACTGAGACCATAATCTTTCTAACTGATGGAACAGTTGGTGGGGGTGGGGGAGTCGGGGATGGGTTGATGAACTAGGGTGCTTTCATTGTTTAGAGTATTGTTTGGCCTCTTGGGTGACATAACAATATCATGGACTTTATTGACTATTTCTGTGGTTGCAACAGTGACAGGCCTTCTAGGATGGGCATCATCCCCAAGGCTCTGCCTGCCATGCCTAAATTTTGTCACCCATCTTTTTGCTGTAGCAAATGAAGTGGCATCATTCCCTAGTGTTGTTTCCATATAAATATGGCTATCCTTAGGTGCTAGACCTTTCTCATGCAAATATTGAATCACTGCTCTTTCAGCAGTTTTGTCCATTTTGCAAACTTCACTGGTCTTGTTTACTTTAGAGTGCTACCTTTTCAGCATAAACAGACCAAATGATACCAGTCTTTGGGTGCACAGCTATAAACAGTCAGTGACTAGTAGAGCTGAAAAAGGACATCCCCGCTTCACTTCTTCAATACAAGGCTCACAACTTATCAATCAGCCGTCCTAGCCGTGTAATTGAGCACTCAAATTACAATTTAAACCAATAATGTTGATTTGTACATCAGAAGAGTCATAAAAATGTTATCTGTCCTGCCAAAAGATCCACTTCTTCTACATCTTATCAATTTTCAGTTTTATAGATAAGTCATGGATATCCTAATTGTTCCATAAAAGTACAGCAATTACTGAATGGCTAAACATGTTGACAATTTATACATTAATTTTGTACTTTAAATATGAAATATAATCACATACAAAATAAACTAAGAAGATGGCTATCAAAGACCAAATCTGAAATTTACATAACATAGCTGTAGGATTTTCATTTTTTTTTCTTCTGAGAAGATCAAAGATTTTGCAAACCGCTATAATTGATTGTCAGGGTTATCTGGTATGAAAAAATCCTGAGCAACAAAAAGATATACAAGGGCTGTCAGGGACATTTATGCTCACAGAATGGGACAATAACTGCTAAATTATACAAAAGTAAGGGATGGTTCTGATGCAATGCCATTCTCCTAGCTGTGACCTATCTACCTGCCCACAGAATGGGACAATAACTCCTAAATTATACAAAAGTAAGGGATGGTTTTGATGCAATGCCATTCTCCTAGCTGTGACCTATCTACCTGCCCACAGAATGGGACAATAACTCCTAAATTATACAAAAGTAAGGGATGGTTCTGATGCAATGCCATTCTCCTAGCTGTGACCTATCTACCTATCAAGTTTACATTGATACTTCTTAAAAGGTTTTGTGTTATGCTCCGCACAAAATTATGACAGACGGATGGACAAATGGATGAACTGACAAAGCGTTGATTTTATGCTCCGGGAAAGATTATTATATATTATTGCGAACTGTTCGATTTAATATCATCGACAATCAGGAGGAAATGTCTAAAAACATGATAACGACCACCAAAATAAGAAATTACTGTAAAGACAGCAGTCTCTGTGGAATGTTCACAAAATGTTAATTACAGATTGACTATCTTCTGAAACACTTAAATTTTTTATTGTTAAGAAATTTTAGGATGTGTTTTATTCTCTTTCACATTCAGATATCAACACAGAGAGGTCGTATGCACTTGTCTGCTTACTTGTGTATAGGTGGAAGTTTGTGAAGACTTATTAGTAGGCGGAGTCTGCATTGGGCCATATGATTCATTATTTATTAAAATTGGCCTCACTGGTGTTTATGAAGCATATCTGAGTTTTATAATCATATAATTACTTATTCATCATAATAAGGATAGTTTTCGCGCAATTATCTTATCAAAATGTGTAGTGAAAGACTGTTACTCTTTGACAAAGTAAACATGCCTACATTTCGTCTCAGTATATCAATCGCCTGCATTACATAGCTGGGGTATACCTCAGTTTGTATCAGCTAGTCCACACATTTCACTAACAGAGATCACAATTACCTGGGCCCGTAATCATGAAACCGTTCTCATGCTCAAGCATGAATTTTGTGCCCAAGCCTTATATCTTGCTTAAGTTAAAAATTAATAAATACGGCTGATTTTGCCAAAGATTTAAAAACAATTTTGAAAGGACTTCAAGTCAAAGCTATATTCAAGGTTTAAATTTGACATTTGTATTATTTTATATGATTTTGGCAAATTATAAAAAAAAAGTTTGCATGAGCACAAAATCTATGCTTGAGCATGAGAATGGTTTCATGAATACGGGCCCAGATTTGTGCATAATATTGTGTGACGAGGAATATACAACCATGTACAAATAAATGTTTTATATATATATATATATAGTCATGAAATGATTATGGGATGAATTCATTCATGTAATTGGTTATTTTCCTTATTAAGTCAACATCTACCAAGATGACGCTCTCAAGTGCGATATGAATATTCACACATGTTGGTGATCAAGGAAAATTTACCTCTCCACAACTCAACCAATTTTACAAATATCAACATGAAACTTGGTACAAGCATATGTTATTATGATATTTACAATACGTTTTTAGATATCATTAACTTCTTTCAGTATTTTCGGCAACAGTGTCTCATAATTTTTATGTAAATGTACACTTGTGTGCCAAGCTGTTATCAGGACTGTCATTTTACATGTATGAAACTAACACTACAAATATGAATGTACTACAATAATATTAAGTACATATCTTTTGATGTAACCTACTTAATTTATTATCACAAGAGATGTAGTTGAAGATGCTGACCTCTACTATGATTCACAACTTACAGTGCCACCGACAATTATTACAACCGACAATTATTACTCTCCATTATTACATTATTATATTGATTTTTTAAAAATATGTTCGTAAAGTGTCTTTAAAATTCTTATTTAGCTTTTAGATAGACGCTAAAAATAGATGTCAATTATTCCATAATTCTATACATTTCTTCATATTGTCCCATCTCAGAGAATCTTCTGCGGACCTGAGCAATGCTAGTTCGTCCTTGACACTAATCCTGATCTGAATATTTTCATGAACACCTAGTCTGTTAATTTTTGTAAGTTTTTATTGTAATACTTGATTGTCTCATAGGGAGAGTATGCATGTATAATTTTTTTTGAAGGATGGCAGCATTGTTCACACAGTCTAGCATATGACTGTCACTAGGTGTCACTGATAATTTGTTGCAATATTTCCACCAATCAGAAAGCTCGAATTGGTAGTAAAAGCTAGTTCAAAAGGATGTGACAATAGGCTGAAACTGTAACAGATTTCCACCAATCAGAAAGCCAGGATAGGTAGTAACAGCTAGTTCAAAAGGATGTGACAATTGGCTGAAATCGTACCTGTATCACATTTAGCCTTAAAAAACTTAATTAGTTTGATACATGGAATGTCAATCTTCAAAATTTCTTAGTTATGGTGAGAATGTGAAAACCCTATATTTTTATGGTGTACGTAATCATTGCACTACATGTATTTCAAAACTACAAACAAATAACTGTAAATAGGGTAAATAGTTACAAATAATATAAACAAAAAAATAAAATAGTAAAATGTTTATGTAAATGTTATCAAGTATTCAAAAGATTATGGTAAATGTTAAAAAAATATCAAAAAGGTTAGTAAATCTTATCAAATATTAAAATTTTCATAGTAATGTTGTTGACTATAGAAATGTTCAAATATAAAACAGATTGTGGTATATGTTATCCAATACCAAAATTAGAATTAGGACTTACCATCACCAGTTGAAGATTCAGTATTACTGCGAAACCTGTAAAATAAGACATAATGTTAGCAATATTATTACTAGTAAAACCATTCATAATTCTATCTACCTAAAACCAACGTCGGAAAAGGTTCAGTGCTGAAAATATTCTATAATCTTCAATATTTCTAGGTCATACATGTTATTACATACAAGGAGAATTTTTTTTAGTTTCTAAAGTTGGATGTAATCAAACATGCCAGATTTTAATTCACATAAAGAGAAGTATGTTTTGCACTAGTTCAGAGTATACATATGTACTTGTTCTGTTGAGTTCATCCCAAATACAAAATTCACTGAGCCAACTGGTATGAGTGCTTTAATTAAAGTTTCAAGTTGACCTCGTGCATTCTGTTTTTAATTTCCTGGACACCAAAGCATCATTGATGATTCCTAACAGGATGAAACAGTGACGTATGATGCGGTTAATTCATGATTTGGCATGTATATTTAACTATCTGTACTGTATGTTCACTGGAGTGTCTATCATAATTCCTGTATCAGCATCAACTGGCTACAAACATTTTTTTATGATTTAAACAATAATTATTTCAACTGATATCTATTTGTTGCCAAATATTGCCAAAAAGAACACCAACATGAGTACGATATTGACAAACTAATGTTTTTAATGTATATATTTGTTGCCAAATATTGCCAAAAAGAACACCAACATGAGTATGATATTGACAAACTAATGTTTTTAATGTATATGGGATTTTTTTGTATCACTTTGATGTTGATCCTTTGAATCAAGAGCCAATTTTTTAACCTATTCAGTTTTTTAAGCTATACAGTTTACTGCCATTATATCATAATCCCATATAGAAAATCACCTTATTTGATCAATTACGGACAGAATTGAACGATCTGACAACTTACAAGCAACATTCATAGTTAAACTTTTGCTTAAAGCTTCTAATGTTTCAATTAGTAATATAATCATGACAGTCTAAACAAGCACAGCCAGAAGAAATGTACCAACATAATAAAGAAATATTATTTTTACTATGAATCCATCAAAGTCAAATTTGGTTTTTTTTTTCAATTTTTGTGGTTATTTATTAATTTCACTTTATGGACTAATATTGTTGCTGTTTTTTCATCTTTGAAAATTGCACACACAAAAAAAAGAACTTTACAAGTAATATGTTGTAATATCTAAAAGCATATCAGCATCCCATCGACTGGCTATATAGGATATCTCTAAATATAAAACTTCACCTGTAAATAATCCATCAATTTCCCTTAAAGAACCTCTCAAGGCATCCTAAATCAATGTATCATCTACAGCACTCCATCACACAGGCCACAAAGCCTTACACACACCAATAAAGGTTACCCCAATCCAGGCCCCAAATTTGACCACTTGGCCTTGTCAACTGATGACAGCCTCCCTGCCTTATTACAGTTGTAAGTCTCCATACTACAGAATCAATATTACTTCCAGGACAGTTAAAGGATTACAAAGGCGACAGTGTCCACCATTATCAAGTACAATAACACTACTTTAACTATGTACATGTATATCTATTTATATTGCAGTTAAGTCAGATTTCAACAATAAAATTTTTCACACCAAATTCAGATTTCCTGATTGTATGCAAAATGGCACACTATCAGTAAATGTCATATTTCCAAACAACTTCAGATACTGAAGAGCCCAATAAAGAGTAAATTGTATCACACCGCTGTTTTTCTTTAAGGGGTGAACTTTTGAAACATTGAGGCAACCCTAGAAATATATTAAGATTGTTTGAAATAACATATGTCTGAAAGTTTCGGAAGAATGTTGTTCAGTACATATGAGTCTAAATGGTGTCACTTTTTGAATGAAATGAAACATGACAGGTATGTTCAACAACAAAGATCTGGGACTAAAACTCCACCACCTGTGTATGTCCGCCAGTATTATGATTCTTGATCTCAGACAGAATGTTTTTAATTCTTATTTCAAGATTCATAAAAGTATCATTGAAACCAAATAAATTTTACTGTTTATTTTTTATGAATGTAATCAACCACTAAACGACAATATTTCCCCTATATGTTATCGGGGTCTTCCCTGAACACCAACTCTGCCTAAGACAACATGATTACATAGGAGGTCAGTTGTGATGACAGTGAGTTATAGTCTGGTGCAGAATTGTGTACAGGTAAATTGTACAGGTAAATCAGATAATCAAGTTCTGATCACTGTTCAGAAAACTGTTAATAACTGTAAAATAAAGGAATCAAATAGATTTGTTAAAACTGTTCCAATCCCAAGCTGTTCAATGGGAAATGTATAAAAGCCCATTACATTTTGGAGAATTATCATATTTCAATCTGCACTTTAAAGCATCAATTTCTCATTGCTTGATTTATAACTTAACTTTTGTCAAATATATTAGTTAATCTTGCACTTTTTCAATTTTAGTATAAATTATCATACCTTATATTATATATATTAATTAATCTTGTACTTTTTTCAGCTTAGTGTGAAGTGTGTTTAATTTGAGTGATATTATTATCTGTGTGTTTTGATACAAGTACAGGATGGCTAACGCTCAGATCAACGTTGAGTTCATCACCAACAGAAGAGGCGGACAGAACCTTTCGCATAATGGATTCATCTACAGACAGATTTGAAGGAATGGCAACAGGACATTCTGGAGACTGAAGAAGAAGGTACTGCATGCCCACCCCAACATCTACAACATCTACACCATCAACCATACAGACAGAACATGTATGACATCAGACGGATTCAGAGAGATGTAGGAGGCACCATTCAACCCCAGAAGAAGAAATACACTGACAGACGCCTTGCCACCTTGGAGGGCCGTTATCAGACTGGGACAATCAACCTGATGACCTTTGCTGATTCAGCATCCGAGCTTCTCCATCTTGGATAGAGTGTTTTGTGTTTTCTAGTAACGACTAATCTTGTACTTGACTCTCAAAGGTTGCAAAAGGACATAATATCTCGATAAAGTGGATAATGTATTGTCATAGATAAACGAGTCGGTGCTAGTTCAGCTTCATTTATTGGTTTATTGTTTGTTCTAAATAATAGTTTATTTTAATGCTAAAATGCGCATATTGATTCACTATTACTTGTATAAACATAAATTCAATCTAATTGCTGACATCAGTATATCAATGTGACTTGATGAATTTTATTTATTAACTACACATATTCTTACATGGTAATCTTTAAATTATGAATAATAATATTGAATATCAATATTTAATAACTATTTTATAATACCTTTATATGCTAAAAATTGTCTTACAATTAATTAAGACAAATAGAAACTTTATCTATGTCATTATTGATATGTAAGTATCCTATTTACAAAATAAGTTGACATTCTTAGTTGAAACAGACTATAAGTTTAGCTTCAAAGGATTCCCTATATAAACACCTTCCTTTCATGTTGGCAGAGTTGGTGTTCGGGGAATGAGTCATCTTATCTATATTTTTGTTTGTTTAGATTATCGCCCCATGAACATTTTGAGGTGGGGTGTCCCTTTTTGGTAGCTGGAAGCTAAATGTGAATAATAAACAAATCAGTAAGCTCTTCTCTTGCTACCCAGAGCAATAAGCACCATCATTACAAAAGGGTCCATTTCTCAACTCCCTGAGAAACAAAACCTTCCAGGGAGTGTTGAACCATGCACCCCAGATCTTCACCTCTGGTTGCAAAGGCCAACATACTACCATTTTATCTAAAACAAATAAAAATCAATAATGTATATATATATATATATATATATATATATATATATATATACATATATGGACCACTTTTACATAAAACTATGTGAAGGGAGGAACTCACAAGATATTATGACACAAAAGTGAAAAAGTGAGCTGGTTTCAATGTTTACATAACCAGAAAATTTTAACACTAACACATAGTCATTGGCAATATGTCAATGTATGTTGAAACATGTTACATATAGCTTGTTACAACATGGCTCTTAAAGTAAAAAAGACTTCAATGCCTGATGGATTTTTTTACCTTTTATAAACCTGTAACGCATTTCCATTAAAATATTTCAAATAAAATCCTCAAAGTATGCCAATTTTACTTACAAGCACACTGTCATGGTTGTAATATAGTTTGGAGTTAAGAGTCAAAAGTTTAAGTACTAGGTACATAGCAAAATTATCATCAAAGAATTTCACAAAATCATATGCTGGCATCTTCCAAACCAACTGTCAATAGGCCAAATCTATTTGAGTCCTGTTTCTGAACACACAGTGGTTCAGTGACAACAATATAATAAGCTTTAGAGACCTAAACATGATACATGCCAACCTACCTATCCTAGTGGAGCAAAGATTGTGATCTTTGAGAATTTTCATATAATTGGAATTAGAACATATATGGCAGTTTATCAAATATTTCATTTTTCAATAAAATGTAGCTGAAACATTTGATAACAATGCTTGTAGGTGATTGATTGCCTGTCCAACTTTTATCATTGTTTTCTCAAAGGCAATCAACGCACAACTCAAAAACAACCTTTAGCTAGAACAAATATAGTTTGGTATTGAAACATATTGATGAAATCATTAATGTCTGATTTTAAAACATTTAGAAGAACCATATTGATGTTATAATTGGACTTTAATTCCTCACAACTACCATGTGTACATAATTTATCTTTGAGTTAAGAAGGTCAGGAAATAATTTTCTGTTGGCATTGAATTCATCACAAATGTTCTTCAAAACATGATATCAAACTGAACATTGGCGAAAGAACTGTAAATGTTTCTTTTTTACTCACTCACCCAGCTTAAAATTCTGTGGAAGCCTCTAGATATTACGGGAATTGAAAGGCCGATCGGGGTTTGCTTATATTTTTCATTTGTTGAGTATATTCATTTAACAGCCAGGGTCAATTCAAGTTGGGGTCTCTTTCTAAAAGCTGGTGGCTAAGTAACTTAAGAATTGCAGGAGGCCCACAAAATATTCTCCATAGTATTGTTTCACTCAATGGCACAACTATAG